AGAAGGGAATTTTGGAAACACCCTGCTTGGCAAAAAAAGCTGTGCCTTTATCTTCTAACAATGAGGCCCCTCCAAGGGATGTGAAGCTAGGCACCAAAATCTGGTGCTGGGCACCAAAAGCTGGTTTGGAAAAATCTTGTGCAGTAACAGTCTTAGAAGCAGATAGCAGCAACCTAAGTAGTAATTGCTATAACATAACTGAAAAGTCCTGAGATTTGCTTGGACAATGTCCCAGGGAACATGCATTAAGAGTGAAATGCAGTTGAAGTAATTTGTACCATGAAGTCAGACTGGAAATCAGACTAATCCTTGATGAAATTACGTGTTAAGCTTGGCTGCCTAAGACTTGCTAGAGCAAAAGAGACAGAAGAAAACCAAGCCAGAATGAGATATTGGAAGGTACTGAAACTAGGTCACTGTCCTGTATTACCCAAAAGCTAAATGGAGCTCTATCATCCCACGGTATCTTGAGCGAGATCAACAAAGGACTTTGATGCAAATCTCCTATCAGCATTTCTACAGCTGCATAAATCATAAAGAAACTTTAAGCATAGCAGAAATGCCAAGACAGGTAGAATGTATAGCACCGAAGGAACACGGGAGGAAATTAAGGGGAGGGCATCTGTCATAACTCTGCATCATTGCATGAAAACAAATTCCCACCAAGAAATCCTGTGACTTATTAAAAAAAAAAAAAAACAAAATATGAGTAGGATGAAGGGGCACCAAGTGGAAAAAGCCGTGACATAATTAGATAGATACGCTAACCCAGCAGGAGAGAAGAGGTGCTCTGTTAGTAAATATACATAAGATTGCTGAATCTTAGATTGCTGAATGTACAAAACAAAATCTGTTTTCTACACTAGACTCAAAAACATCATGATTAGTTAAGAGACAGGAGAGACTTCTTGAGCTGATAGGACAGCAAATGTTGACTGTTTTTGCTCCCCTTCCTTCTCTTTGGTATTTAAAACTTCAATTCCATTCAAGTTAATGATCTATATATTTTTACTGAATGAAGCACTTTCCCCCCTTCTGTAGGCATAGATACAGCACAATTATTAAAAATGGAAACTTCAGAAGATGTAAATAGTTTGAAAGGTTATTTCAAGCACTTTTTTTGTTGTTTTGTTTCCCCCCCCCCATGGCTTATGTTAGTTTAGTAATGAATGTGGCTTAACTGTTTACATTATTCTTTGTTAATGGAGAAAGACCATCATTTCAATACTGCAATAAGCATTCAGAGAAAGTTGTTTAAAGACGAATGCAGGAACAGTCTTTAGAGAAAAATAATTTAATCAGTTAACTGTGAATATCATATTTCCTATCCAAAACCACTAAGAAAAGTGTTTCTTTGCTCAGTCCCTGTCTCAGATTGCTGGAAACAACATTATTTTCTTAGGTGTATGCAAAGCCTGACATCCTCATGCCACTGCCACCCCAAATCTCATAAACAGCAGATAATCACGATGAGTATAGATCTTTAAAGCATTAGCTGTGTGGTGCTTCCTATATGGCAAGTAAGGCTTTCTAAATTTGCAATTTGAATTTAGGCAGTCAGACAAAATGAAAATGAGACTATCCCCTTAGTGTTGGCCGACCTGAAACTCTACAGCTGAAGTTAAACAGTAATTTTAAAGGACCCTGAAAAAATATTATTTTATATTAACTAAGAAATATTAAGAAATATTACTTAAGTAACTATTAATTACTGAAGAACTAGTTCGTGCTGTCCTTGGATAAGTGTCCTAGAGCAAAAACACTCTGAACCTCAGTGGAACAGAGCTTCCCAGAACAGGTCTGTCTCCATCCCAGCCCTTTGCTGACTCTACAGCTCCAACCTCAGCAGGATTTGTGAGTATCCAGAATTCACGTCACAATCCCAATTTTGAACCTCTGCTCTATTTAAATTCAGGACATGTCAGTTTTCCTAGTGTCAGAATCCATTTTAGTTTACCTAACTGTGTGTATTCAAATAAATAATTACCAGCTACTTTATGGGATTTAAATTTACCTTATTTTCTAACTGAAAATTATTCTTGGTCTATCCATGGGAAGTTGGAATATGAGAGAAGAGTGCTCCTGAAGCCGTTAACATGCATCCTAAGTAAAACTGGCCTGTTTTCGCTACAACGAGCAGTGAAAAAAGAAAGTCCATTAGATACTGGAAATATTGTCTTTCTAAAAGCAGCAGATTTTTTGTCTGTGCAATGTCTAAGCACTGCAAATCTCAGCAGAAAATTGCACTGGAACAGTGGGCGGTTCCAAATTGCTGGAAACTTTACAATGGCTTTTATGTTTAAACATAATTTCGCAGCTGTTAAAGGTCAGCACAAATCCTGTACTTTATCAGTATAAATGAAGTCTACAACTGCCAAGAAAAGAATGCATTAAATAATGCAGTGATTATTATCTTGATTTTTTTTTTCCCCTTCAGAAGTGAAAAGGACCTCTTAAGCAGTTCCATTTTTCTCTTCCTTGTTTCAAACTGACAAAGTAAAACACTAATTAAATTATTTATACGAGAAATTTACTTACAGGGATGACACATTTTGTACACAAAGCAAGTAAAACATCTGACACATTGTATAGTGCCAGGTGCAGTTAAGAAAGCGTAATACAAGTCAGCATCTAGAGGCTAAAAAACCCAACAAACTTGCTGCAATATTTCATTACCAATTTTATTTCCTACCATACACCAAATGTACAGCACAGAACACAATTTTGTTGTTTTGATGTAAGAAATATTAATTGTATGAAGAAACAGTATACAAACTACTCCAAATTAAAAAATGCATACATCATTGCTCTTTACAAAAGGTCTAATTTACAGTATAGCTCATCAATGCGTTTAAACACAAAAAAAAAAAAAAAGAAAAACAAAAAGAAAAAAAAATCAGTGCACATTACAAAACACATCAAGTACGAGGGAGGCAAATAAATACAAACATACTTCACAGAACATCCTGAGCAGACAACCAAACACAGATAAATTAACCTGAAGCCATAATAAATCATAATAATAAATACATAGGTCAGTAAGAGATTTTTTTTACTTAAATAAAATATATAACAAATTTGTTAAAATATTTAGTAAATTAAATTTTAGACTTTGCAATGAGTGAACTCATTTTGTATGCATTTAACAAGTATAGCAAATGTTTGCTTTTTGTTTTTTTTTTTTTTTTTTAGCAAGAACAATAACTTTAATAGCAAATTTTTGTTTGGTGTCCTCCTATTCATATTAGACAGCACGTATGGCAGCTTTTGAAAATTCGATTTAAAAATAAACACACCTCCTAAGAACATACATTTTCCCCTGTCTAAACTAAGATCAGAGAGTTGAATCAACCCCCAAAAAAGAAAGCAAGCCCCACCTAATGCAGAACAGTGACCACAGTGCATGAGAGTTCAATCACTTTTGAATAGTACTTTTGTGCAGGAACAGTAATAATATAATTGTATATGTCAAGCCTGTGAACGCCATCATATTCAATCTAAATATAAATGAGGCTAATAAAAATAAACACTTTCATTATAGCACGGAAAAATTAAACACACGCTAGATCCATGTATACATTTACACTGAGGCACATATGCACATGAGGTGTGTGTGCATACAAAAAAGGCAGTTTAGCTGGTTGTTTATACCTTTGTCTTAAAAAAAATAAATATAAAAAAAAACTTTTGAAACAATGTTTAATTACTTACAATCCCTGAAATAGACATTGCCTCTGTTATAGCAACCGCTACCTTCTGACGGATTCAGAAGTTCCACACCCAGGCTAACCAGATACCGAGGTGCGAGTGCTCGTCTGCACACCTCCGTCTGTCTGTCCGCTCTGTAGCACTTGGTACCCTACGGAAAGACTGGTAACAAATTCAGTATCAGCCTAGTCTTAGTGAAGAAGGATGGGAGAAATCAGTCACGGTGTTGCTACGGTTCGTTCAAAGAGAAAAGCAACCACCGTTGTGCTGGAGTGGTGTTATTCCTCTCCAGACCGCTGCCTTCTCAGCTGCCCTTACGTTCAAACCAGTATTAAATGCCATTTCAGGGGAGATGAGTTCGATTCATTATGTACAAAGCCTTCAGCTTGGGATGTGTTAGCTTTTTCCAAATCCAAATCCATAGCAATACTGGTCACTTGGTTAAAACCTCAATGCCTCGTCCTAAAAAGGTACCGGTCCTATCAAACGATCCTTTTTGTTTAGAGATAATTGGCATTTCCCTCTGTGAGCTAACTCTAAAAAAAAAATTGCAGTGGTAAAATAAATCTGAAGTTCTCTTGAAACATTTTAAATAACCATTCGCATAGGCTAAATCACACAGCCAAGTCAAGTGCTCTGCTGATTGCTATATTTCATTATTGCTAACGTATTCTTTAACACACTGTTTTCCAGCATACTGTGCTTTTAAGAGCCCAGGTTACCCACTAGTGGGCACCATTTGTCTTCTCATTCCATGCATCTTCACATCTCATGTTACCGCAAACCCACTTCTGATACAAAGCCATTATAAAAGGCAGGATGTGAGGAAAATAAAACTAGAACCATGGTTCAGTCATTTGTTACTTTCATAGTTTTTTTTTTTTTTCTTCCTGTACAAACCCAGCAAGTTATTTAATTTACAGTATAGCTTTTCAGTCTATTTAAAATCCCATTGGAAAATAAATTAATAAACACATTTGTAAAAATATGGCAGGCCGCAAAAATGCTGTTAAAAGATAAAAAAACCAACTCTTTGATTAGAAATAAATAAAAAATATAAAAAATAGTCGCACACACTTTTTACATTCACTTTACAAAAAAACTGAGTGCAAAAGAAGAAAAAAAAAGGAATTGTACTGAAATAAATACAATATACTAACAGAGTGCATTGCTGTTAATACAAAGAGTCTGTTGTGGTTTTATTCTTTTTTTTTTTTTATGTCAGCTGGGAAAAAATTAGTGCAATGTTGCAATTGTAAATGCAGCATGGCAACCTACACCCCTTAGCAGTACATGAACTCCTAACAGATCCATCTGGAGTTTACTGCTGTTAAGTAATTTCTGTTGCCCAGCAGCTTTCACATCCTACACATGGATGCCCTTCACTGCCTGTTTGATACTTTCCAGCAGAGCTTTGCATTCGGGGGAATAGTCCCGTTCCAGATTGCTGTACATGTCTGTGAGTGTATTTACATATGCTTCGAAATTCTGCTCGCTGATTGGCCCCTAAATGAAGACAAAACAGATTATCATTGTAGGGGAGAAAATTAAAGCCAAAAAAAAAAAACCCAACCCCAAACACCCAACCCCAAAGCAGGGTAAAAGCAGCGATATGGCAACGGGGGAGAAGTCATAAACGAGGCAGCCATCCAAATGAATGGAGGGGCTGCAGGAATGAAGGGAGGTGCACGTGCTGGGGGGACCACGCGCACTCCGAGCGAGGAAAGGGCTTGGAGATATCGTCAGTGTAACTTGCTTTTTTATTGTGGCTGATGGCCCTGTGACTGTCCTTGCCTAATCTCCCAGTGGCACTCTTGAGACTGGGAAAAGGGACTGTAACTCTGGAAACCCAAGTTCCTTTGTGGGTTTGGCCAGTAAGACATCAAAGACGCGGAGTTTTTGAGAAGGCAGAGCTTTGCTGGCTCCAGAAAAATCACCTGCATGAAACAGGCTAAAGTTTTGATCTAGGAGCAGAGTAAATCAGGATGCTCGGTGTGAAGTTTTCGCTCTTTGTACAGGGTGGACATTCGGACAGGAAGGCACGAGGGAAAAGCCCGTCCTGCGCAGTGCGGTGCAGGGCAGAGATACCAGGGCTGGCTCAGTCCTGGAGCTGCTGCGCCTGCTGGCACGCAAACTTCATCATCCAGCATCTCTGCAACGTAAATCGGGCTAAAAGAGCTCTCTGCTAACGCAGCTCCCGTGCTCCTGCTGGTCCCTGAGCTTGCTCATCTGCTTCAAGTGCTGGCAAAACAGTCTCAAAGAAGGTGTGGAGCTGCTGGCTGTGGTCTTACCATCTGTGGAAGCTGAATGTCAGCGAGGCTGGAGATAAGGGCTTGGCTTAAGCCCGCTAACTCCTTCAACAGGCTCTCGTTGTTCTGCTCTATGAGTTTGTTCTCTTCCTCTATCGTTTTCAAGTTGCTCTCCATAGATGTGATCTAAAAGACAGGGGCAGGCACAGACACACAGACAGACAGACCCTTGGCAGCGTTGCCACTGCAGTTTGAACCCACGACGGCAGTCGTGAGATTGCGCGAGGGGACGCGATGGGTCTGAAACTCAGGTGGCGTTAGGATAGACATAACTTCGCAGAATATTCACAGCAAAGAAGAGGTCATGTTTGCTCTGAACCAACGGACTCTGTGGCACCAGGAGGGAAATACCCAGCATGGGTATTAGCTGTTGTGCTACTTTCCTGCCCTGCTCCTGGGCAGAGGGCAGAGCTGGGTGATGGCTGGGATTAGCAACAGGGCTGGTGCTGCAAACAATAAGAAAAAAATAGAGTGGGAAAGAAACTGAGAGATTGAGCTCACAACGATCATCACAAAGATGAGCTCTGATAGACAAAATGGAAACATGGGGGTTTTGGAAAGAGGAGGAAAAAGCATGTGAAGTAGCAAAATTTTAGTGTGAGAGCTATGGGAATATTCTCAGCTCTAAAGATTGATGTGTCGAAAGCAGTGCTGAAAAACTGAAGGTGGCAGTGGCAGGACCTGGTTCTCCTGCCAGCTCCTCACCCAGCAGTGGGGCAGTGGGACAGGGCAGAGCCAAGGGCTGCCACCCCTGCCCCTGGCCACAGCTCCGCAAATGTCTCTTGCTGTCCAAAGAGGAGAAATCTGACTGCATAAATGGGGTGATCTCTGCAAACAGCACAGGGATCACCAGAGAGAACCGAAATAACTGTGAACACCACCGCCACCGCCCACTGCAGTGCAGTTTGGGATGGGTATCCCCACAACCTTTGCAGTGTGAAGCCAGACCATTGAGATCCAGCAGAGGTGGCATAAACTTCACCCTTATTTAGACCATACACACGGCAGCTGTTATGAAACCAGCATGGATTGGCACGGTATGCATCCCAGTGGAGTGCAAATACAGAGGGGCACGGGTACGCTCAGTTTGACTGAAAGCAGCTTAGACTTATATTCAGTTTCTAGATCTCCTTTAGGAACTTTTTTCTTGAACACTTATTCCTAAAATATTGAGCAAGCTTCTGCTTTTGCTCTTACCTGGTCTGCCCAGGTGAACTCCCAGGTGCATGTAGGAGTCTCTGTAGGGATTAACACATTCAGCTCACTCCATAGAACCTCTATCAGCATCTTAAGACATTTAATTTTACCAGCATACAAAAGAATGAAAGAGAATGACTTTTTTTTTTTTTTTCCATAGCTCCTGTCAAACTAATCTGCTATACAAATTAGCAAAAAGCATCCATTCTTTACCAGGTGTTGCCTGGAGGCAAAATTCAATCTATTTGAATAACTGAGAGGGGGTGAACAGAAATAGGGAGATTTTCTTTGGTACACATAAGAACAAAGTCAACTCACATTAAGAGTTAGAGTATGCTGGTAAGAGGTAATATCCTCCCTAAAACAGGTTCTTAACCACAGTCATGGGTTTCTGCAGGGTTTGGTAAACTGAGGTTTGGTCAACAATGGAAAATGAATGTTTTGTTTGGTAAATATGGCTCTCCTGCTTGCCAAGATTAGCTCCAAACTGCCCTGAATTCATCATTAACGAGATCTTCATTACAATACCCAGGAATAAGCTGCTTATTTACAGAAAACAAACAAACAGAAACTTGACAAAAAAACATGTGGGATTTTGGTACCTCTAAGTACCACAGCTTGATGGGAAAACAAATGCACAGGAGGCTAGCTGGGTTCAAACATAGCTTTTACACAGCATCTAATTTGTTTATTTATTGTTCTGAAACATAGCCTAAGAAAAGGTAAAAGTTTCACGTTGAGGTCATACCTGGGTTTGAAGTTTCATCATGTCAGCTTCAATTTTAAGATTGGATTCATTCAGTTCTTTTATTTCCTCATCCAAGTGTCTGATTTCTTCATCACTCTCAATACCTGCAAAGAGTTGAAAAGATCAATATCAGATGTAAAGTGTCCACATGTAAATGGGTGAGTAGCAAGCTGCACTACCTGTATAAGGGGAAGATAACAAGCTTCTGATCAAATGACTGATCCTTAAATTGCCTCTCACTTTGCTTTTACTATCAAAATTTTTTGCTAGCTGTAAAACATCTATATGAGCTGAAACATTGAAGGGGCTTTCTGAGTCTGTGTGTTTCTTTTTTTTTTTTTTCTCTCAGTGCAACATGCAACACCAAGATGGAGAGTCCAAAAGGAAAAACTGCTCAGAAAGAGGAAAGTTTATCGTAAAACATGAGGGGGTATTTGCAATCTTTTTTTTTTTTTTTTTAGTTTTTTTAGTTTTTTTAGTTTTAAAAGAAATGTAACAGCAATCAAAAAATTTTTTTTTTTTTTTTTTTTTTTTTTTTTTACAGGGAACACCTCAGGGTAACTAGTATAATTGCTGACCTTTAGTAAACTCATCTGTACCTGCTTCTGATCTTGCAAGAAGTTCTGGGGGGCAAATCACTGTGTGGAATACTTCAAGCAGCAGATAAATAGAGAAATTGAAATAACAGCAAAAGGGAAATTGTCAGGAAGCTAACAAACATTACAGAAAAAAAAAAAAATAAAGGAAGGAAGACTTTTACATCCCCACAAGTTAGATAGGAAAGAAAAAAATCTTCAGGTCTTTAATGAAAACCCTGTCCTGAAAAATACTGAGCAGCTACAGCTGCTGGCAATACATGTCCCTCTTTCTTCGTGGTATCGCTCTGAGAGCAGCTCTGCCCAGAGATTTGTGCCGCTGCTGTTGTTACTGCTTTGAAACCGAGAGCCGTGAGCTAAGCCTACAGGGGAGCCAGCTTGGGCAATCTGTAAGCAGCGGTCCCTGCCCCTGTGATAACATGAACACATGGAAACAAACTCATTTGCCCAACGTAACACAAGCGTTTTGCTCAGCAGCTGGAGGCATAGAGACTGAGTTCCCTGAATCCTGTCTCAATGCCCAAATGAAAAAGGAGGCTCCTACATATTCCCCCTTATAACTATTTGGTAATTTTTCCTGTACACCTACTACATGGGTTAGCAAAATTGTCCCAGTACTGGACAGAAACTAAACCACGTAGTATTCAATTTAGGGACAGGAGTCAATTTCTGCACACAATATTTATCCCTTCTTACCTTAGTCATCAGATAGCTAAGTCCTAACAACTTATTAGTGATAACAACATTAAAAGCATGTCCACAAAAAAAAAAGTAATTCTGAGACAAGAGCATACCCTCAATGTTGAGTTCTCATGATGTAAATAAGTAGAATTTTATAATCTCTCATCCAAAGATTTTTGTTATTCAAGATTTGTTATTGCTAGAGACAACTGAAAGGAGTGAGAATTAATGCCAGAATGGCATAAAGGGGCATAAGTATAAATGAGAGTCAGGGCCCTTCTAGCTAAATAAATGTCATCATCTTTTACAAATCTCCTTACCACCGCTTGCTTTAAGCTTGATAGTCATTAATTCTTCTGAAATTTTGCCCTTTTTTATAGCTTGTGCATTCAGAGGACAACCAGACAGGCTGAAACGGATAGGAAAAAAAAACAAAAAAAACAAAAAAAACAAAAAACATTAGCACCCACTTGAAAATGGCAACAATCCTTTCAGGCAATATTATCATGCACTTGGACAGACCTCTGTACCTAAGGTCACATCAGTATCTCCATTATAGCATAGCTTCGGAGAATGACATAGCGCATAAAGAGCCATTTAACTGTATATTCCAGCTTGAAAATTGGCATAGAAATCTCAACCTATAAGTAAACAACTCTTAAGCATATTTCAGAATAATCAGAATAGCAGTGGCAGCTACTATTAAGTTATGTGAAGGTGCATTTACAGAATTCTTGAAATACCAACACTTATAAATAAAAACTGTCTATTGCTTTTATTGAGGGCTTTTGCTCCAGTGGAAAGGGGCAGTATGGTCCTGCAAGTTGAAATGGCAAGTTTACTTTCCTAAAAAAAAATAAACTAGTTAATGGGATGATTTCCATGGTGCACAACTATTGTATCATTCTGTTGATACATAATTTTGATGAATACAATATTAACTCTGGATATACCCTATAGACTGTAATAGCTTTTTTGAATGGTTCTGTTATATAGTCAGTTTGATTTTTAAACACTCTTCACATTAAATTTCATTTTGGTATTTCAAAGGTCACAATTTCATCAGCTGGTAATTATCTGAGGCAATTTTTATAGCCCACTAAAGGGCTAAGATGAATTGCACTGTCTTAATACTATCTTTATAAATAACGAAGAAGAAATACCCATATGCTGACAGAAGGATATAACCAAGAAAGGAGTGAAGGAAAATTTTCTTCCACAGGAAAATGGTTGATTTTTTGTGTGTGTGTAAAAATTAAAACCAAAAATTCTAACAGACATCACGTGTCCACATGGGGAGGGGAGAAGTGCTTCTGTGGATTAAAGCTGCCTTCACAATTGCTTAGCTAAAAAAAACAAGAGCTAAAATCTAAAAGAGCTAAAGCTAAAAAGAGCTGACGTGCTGTTTACGTTATTTACTTGAAGTTATCACATGGCTTAACATGAGTTAACTAGCCCCAATTTACAGTAGTGTCCTGACTTGGGACATAGATCATAAAGTTAGGATAACATTGACTCTGAATTTGTTCAAGTCACCTTGGACATTCTCGTATTGGAGAGGTTGGTTCAGAGTGTTAGAAAGAAAGCAGACAGAAGATCAAACTTTGCCAGGCATTAATTCAGATTCTGTAGCCAGGTTCTCTGAGTAATATTGATTGAACATGGTAAAATTATACCAGTGTTTTCCCAGTGATATATAAAATTGTGGTGTTGTTACATGTGTGACTCCTGCTTTGTAAGGATGATTTTATCTGTAGTGTTGTTATTACTTCAAACTTGTGTAATCCATGAGTTCTACATGTTCACTCTTTTGTGTGTGGTTCTAGCTATTTAGATACAACGAAAACAGCTCTGGTAGAAAGATGAAATTAACGCAGCCGTTCCTCTTCCTAAATTTTTTCTGGTGACATTTCAATGATATTTGCATTTTCCATAAAAGATATAGGGATACGGCTCCATATTTGCCTAGGAAAGAACTCTATTAAATTTTAAAACCTATAGAAGCTTTTCTAATCTGAAGAAAAGTCCTTGGAAAGTCACACTGCAATGGGGACATAGAAAGAGAGTAAAAAATTGATCCCAACTCTCTGAAAGTTATTCTGATCCATACTACTTCAGCTGCAATGTAAACTATGTGGTTACTTAAAAGACTTCAGCACAATTTATTCAGACTGTAATCTCACGCGTTGCCAATTCAACAGTGGAATGTTAAGGAAAAAAAATAAAAAAAAAGAGAAAACACAAAGTTATACCTTCTGTGGGTGACAAAAACATTATTAACATGACCCAGCCCGTTGCAGCCTGGCAAAGGACAGTGTGGCAGCTCTTGTTTGTTCAGTTTCCAGGATAGTGAAGACCCATTGACAGGACTCTCCTTCTGTCTCTTGGCAGCCAAAGGACAACCAGAAGCAGTGCGATGAGAAGTGTATTTACCTGATATGTGACCTTGGCCATCACAGCCTATCACTGGACATCTACAGAAACACAGCAAAAGAAGCCCTGTTTTCACTTGAGAGAGCAGGCGAAGACAGTCTCAAGAAAGTCTGAGAAAGAATTCCAGCTGCCTGTGCCACTTGGCATCACGGGATTAAGGCTCAGTCCCTGGAGACACACTGTACCTGAGCATCCAATTCATGTCAAGCTGAGTTATGGGGGTTCAGCTGATTTTAAGATTAGGCAATTTAAAATACAGTCATACAGTCAAAGAAATTAAAACATTCATTTAGATAGTATTTTGCCAGAAAAGAAAATTGAAATTCTATCACAGGCAATAAATCACCCTTCTACAAGTGTATGGAAAGCCCACATTCCCTCCTCACTATCTGGGGTTCTGGCATGAAGCAGAGGGTGGGTTCCTGTACCTGGAGAACTTGTATCATCTCATGAAAACACTTGCAAAGAGAGGTTTGGGATTTTTTTGCACTCCTCTGTCAGTCCTATGCAGCCTCTTATATATCATTAGCAAGTTTTAAAGACAACACTGTGTGCAGCTAAATCTTTATGTCTTTATTCTGTCAGTTATCGTTTACTCATTCTAATGGAATGTGTGTTCAAACCAGGAACGTGGTGAATCCCTACTGAGTTTTGAGTTTTCACTTTAAGTGAAATTTGAAATTATATACAGAGAAATAACATGAGACTTACATATATTTTAGTTCTCTGGAACATATTTTGAAGGTGTCACTCTGATTTAATTAGCTGACAGGTTAAGATTTCATTACAGGCAGAAATAATTTGTTTTCCTTCATTTTGCCAATTTTTTCAACCAAGTGGCACTTTCATAGCACTGTATAAAATAATTGGACCAATGACAGCAGATATAGCGATCCTCCCTCGCTGTTCAAGCTCCAAGGTGATGGACCCCACCAGCTTCACTAGAAGCAGAAACACTTGGTTCAGCTCCAGCTCTAGGCTATATTCTCACGTGGCTCAGATTAACTGGGGCATCTCCTGTGATGCCTCAAGTCCTGAGCTCTTACGGGCTTTTTTCCCCTTCGCTGGTGGCAGACCTCTGCTTTTGTACTCACTTAAGTTCAGGGTCTTCTTTTTCTTCCTTGGTAGGAGTCACTTTGATACCTCCTTTCCTGGCACGAGGACAACCAGATAAGCTGAAAGAAGCACATAGAATAAAAGCCACCTCTTTCTACTGCTGCTTGCCGAGAACCCCGAGAGCTGCTGCCCCGTGTGATGGGACAGTTTTTACCTTCTATGGGACGCATAGTTCCCTGTCACGTGGCCAGAGCCGTCACAGCCAGGTGTTGGGCACCTAGGGAATAATACAGGGAGCTTACAAAATACAGCTTCAAAGGTACACAGGAAAGAATATGTACCTTCTGCATTTTGTATAGGGTGAAAGAAAGAAAAGCAGAGTTTTTCTGGAATCGTTAGAACTAGTTCTTGCTGATTTTTTTTTTAATGAGCAGAATCCTTTCATTTCTTTTTAACAGAGTTTTAGTAAGGAGTGTGAAATGTATTGAGTATAATGTATAGATTTAATTAGTTTATAACCTTGTTTGCACCAAACATTTTTCTCTGTACAGGATCAACATTACAAAAAAAAAAAAAAAGAAAAAAAAGAGGCAGCTTGATATAGATCTGTTTGTAAATTTACTGTTATGTGTTTGTTTGTTATTCTTCTGATGCTTGCAGGTACAGACATAACTAAGCACTTTGCCAGTATTTATTCAAGGGGATATGGAAGCAGAGAAGCAGTTTTACTTTTGAGCATCGGTAGATGATAGCCAGAATTTGAATTTAATAATTTGTATATTCTAGCACTGTAAGCATATAACAGAACCATAGCTTCCTAGCCCTGGATTCCATTGTGTATTCAGCTTGGCAATTGGATTATGCTTATGTCTCACAGTTAAGGGGTTTCTGCGTGTGTGCGCAACAAACAAGTCTTTTCAACTATGGATGTTTAATACTAAACCATCCATACAGGGAAAGGAAACAAACCTGCATGTTACTGTGTTTTTGCCAGCAGTCTGGGAGGGTGGGCTTCTTGTTTTCTGGTTGTACATAAATAATATGCTCAAAAGCCTACTGGAGCCAGCAGGTCTGTCCACTGACTTCTGTGGGGTTTGGAGCAGGACCCTACTGGTAGCATCTTCCATCTCAGAAGCCCGGATTTTTTTTTTTTTTTTTTTTTTTTAACCATTGAGGATATTGTATTTCTTGTGTGGGGCTTTGTTTTGGTTTAGTTTAGTTGGTTTTTTTATTTTTTTTTTAAGAGAAGAGAAAAACACCTCAATGCACAAAGCAGCACAAGCAAAATATTTCCCTTTAGAAGCTGTGCCAGCCATTTCTGTTTCTATATTACACCGCACAAAGTTCTTAGGCTAAGCATCCCTAGGGGCCTTTTGAATGCTATGATTTTTACAGAGTATCAGAATTACAGAAAGACTTGTGCCAAATAATCTTGTGCTGAACAATTAAGGAAACTCGCATTGTTCAATACTCTCTTTAGAGTGTCTGTTGTTACTGAATCTTTCCTGAGGTGAGGAGATGGCTGATTTAATCTCGTTGTCAGTAGGCTGCCATGGAAAACACCTGCAAATATAATTGTAATATCACATCTGAGTGTGCAGGTGTATCTCTTCACAGAATATTTAAAGCTATTTTTCAGCAAACAATTAATTTGTCAAAACGGTGATTTCTTTTGGACATGACCAAATTTATTCGCTGATTCAAGTAGAATTCAGCAAATAGTTTCAACCGAAGAAAGGGGAGACTTTTCTTTTTAAAGACAATGTCAAAACATTTCACGATGACATTTTCCAAACAGAATATTTTGGCAGAATGACGTGCTTCACACTGACAGCGAAGGTAGAGGTGCGGGTTGCAGAGTGCCAGGTACACTCGACTGTACAGAGCTAAACATTGACCCTTCTGAGTGTGGGACAAGGACTGGGCACAACGTCACGTGGAGCAGGCAGCAAGGGCAGATGTCTGGAGAGTGTAAATGCTCACAAGATAAATCCAGAACACCTGCCAAATACTATGGATATTCATTTTGGCTACGTGTTTTATCAGATGATCACAGATGGAAGAACTGCCCGCATAGACTGGATGTGGATTTTAATCCAGCAAGAATTCTTTGTGGGACACATTCAGATCATGAATCTGAGAGTTATGAACTCAGTTAAAAAAGACAGTGAACTAAATTTGAATCTCCCCATTTGCAGTTACCACTTCTGGCAGCAGTTAGATTTCACAGCCAGATTAGAGTCCAAAATGTTCTTGAGGTCCTTAAAGATTTGAGGCCAAGATATTCTCAATACTTATGAAATACAAGATGATACTTCAGGTGGACTGCTGACAAAATTAGTAAGAAGCTTCACTAGCAAGACTCCACAGCTTGACCAATGAATTGGGTTTTCCAAATATTTGTTCTATCTTTGTATGGGTTGTGAAATTCCACAATACAAGATACACCAACAACGTATTGCCTTCCAGCCAGTAATACTGTGGCTTTTAACTGGCTGATGAGTTTGGACTGGTGCCCCAACTTAGGGAGACATCCTCTGTTTTGGATTCCTGTGCAGAGCCAAGAAAATCAGATTTACATTAGAGGGCCAGAGGCCTCAGGAGCTCAGGCTGAAAGATGTCAACTCTCTGGTGGGTGTAGGTTGCAGATTCTTTTACAATTCATCAAGTTTGTTTTCCAAGAACAAACCTCTCAGTGATTTCACATAGAAATATTTGTAAGTGCAAATCGAGTACCCGCTATTTTGTTCCTTTCTCCAGGAGGTTTACTTTGTCTTTAAGTAGATGAATTAGAACTGCATGTAAAACTGATACACTGAGCTGCAGATCTAGGAGCGTTTCTGGTTCTTTTACTCCCTAGAAAGCTCACAGAGGCGGTTGGATATGAACTGTAGTTAAGGCAAACCTACAGAGGTCAGCTGAGAAAATCGTCGGGTGAAATATGTCGTGCTACCTATAGAATATGGATCAGTATCAACTTGTTGTGTGAAACATATCTAGAAGAACTGCCAGAATCTCTCCTAAAAATTGGCATTTAACCACTGCAACAACTTGTCTGAGGATAGGATGGATTACTTATTCCTTAAAGTTTCTGAACTGTAAGTAAATATCTTTCTGAAGTGCACTTTTAAAATTCTTTAAGATTTGATAAGCAGCTCTGTGGTGAAATAAGATAATCAGTCACAATTCTTCCCTACTGCCTTAAAACCTATGAGTCGTCATCAGCTTTAGTACACTTTCATTTGACCACCTTAGATTGCCCTGTGCAAGCAAGATTCCTCAGATAAAAAATTTCTTGAATCTGACTCAGAGGCTCACTTTCCGAACAGATCGTCCTTATTTCCAAACTGTAGATCACATGGAAGCCTTGTATCTTTGCTGGCTTAGAGTTTCGTAATTGAAGCCAAAATCATATCTTGATTGTGGCAAATTAAACGCGAATAACATTTGGAAAAAATACAGAGCTTTTTCATATGGATGCCTGACTACGTGAGGGTACTTTCATGGCCTGATTCTGTGAGCATTTATGCCCTCTGCTCACACAGCAATAGTAAAATTAACTATTGATATCACTGTACAACACCAGTGCAGGCACAATTGCAGTTTTGGCATAAGCTTTCATTTAGTCAACGCTTATCAAAAGCTGAGGTTTGTTTAAAATTTCACCTGAACAATGTTTGCAGGAAGGTGGTACATTTGTGGAAAACAATTTTATTTAGCCCTTATTCCTTTTGCAAATTGTCTGTGAACAGATTTTGATTTTTTTGCTCTTTTCCTAGTTAATTGAAATTAAATGCGAAGTGCGTTATGCAACATATTTCTGTCTGTGAAATGTTCATGAACTTTGACTTTGTCTTTCACAACTCACTTATTATACATGGCGTACAGTGTGCAGTTTGTCATTTAAGTCATATGCTGTTGCTCCTCTTTCCTTATGGCATGACCAAAACTCTAGAAGCTTTAGTGGAAAAATAACCATATTGGTATGCAAATTTCCTTATTCACACATGAATATGGGGCGGGGGGCTGCATGAGGAGCAACTATTCAAAATATTTGTGTGAGTGTCTCTGTATGGCAGAAAGCCAACAGAAGCAGGGACAAATATAGATGACTCAGCAGATGACTTCAAATTTGTCAGCATTTTTGCAAATCAGTTCCTTGCTTCCTGTGCTGCTCTTTTCAAAACAAACTAAACCTAAATTTTGTACCTTTGAGACTCTGAGATGGAAAAACTGAAGCATTGTGCCAGCGTGTCAGTTTATCTACTGTCTTTGGGAACTGCTTTGAACAGTTGCCCATATAAATGGCCTTTCTTTGCCATTTTGTTGCCTCTCCAGCAGGTTCAACTCCAAAGCCACCATCAGTTCAGTATATTGTTTATAATTCAAGTTGTCGGACTAGAAGATGAGACCGCTAACAGTTGATCTTAAATAGCTAACTTGTAATTAAACACTAGGTCAAGCCTAAATGTAACCATTCCTACTATTAATACCATTAAAAAAGCATAATGGTGCCAGGATCAGACTTGATTTTCTTCTATCTAGACTAGGGATGAACCTAAAGGACAGAAAGGACAGTCACGGGATTCTCCCCTTTTTACACACATTCATGAGTTTTTCCAAGCCATCTATTATGGGATCCAATTTACAAGTTGCAGAGGGAAAGCTATGAAATAACTCTAATTACCCTTTCCTCTTCCCCACATCCTTATTAACAAAGCCAATTCAATAACTAGATGACTGGTTGCCAGTGCCTCTCTTGACTACAGATTTTTGAAATATTCATATGTCCCTATACATCTGTCTATATAGCAGAGCCTGCACGGTCGTTTTGTAAGTGACATTTCGTGGTGAGAATTATGCCAGCACAAAATCATATGACTTGATGTCTGCTTTGGTGACATTAAACTCATAGTATGTGTCAGTGAATGATAAAACATGATTTGCAGGAGTTCTGGTCTCATTTTTAGTTTTATTCTAACTACATTTATTTCTAAAAAAATAATTCTAATTTATCCTAACTGGATCAGACTGAGTTATTTTCAAGATATGTCTTACATGTTAGATATTTTCTGTTTCTCTCTGATTCAGGAATACTTTGAGAGCAGCCTCTCTCTTACTGTTCACATTTTTTTCCCCCAGATCTTGGTTAAGTCATGAAAAAATGAAGAAAGACAAATGGAGGAAAGTAAACTCTATTTCCCTCAAAAGCTTTCAAACCCATTCACTTCAAGTTTCAGGCAAAGGTTTGACATAGCTTAGAGAAATTAAAATGAACAACTGCATGACTGGAGGGAACATGTTGATCAAAGATAAATAAAAATAACATTTATACTATTGTCAATACTTACTTAAGCTCCTGAGAGTTAGCAGCCATAAGGGATTTTAATGTCTTGTCAGCTAATGGGCACCCAGAAACACTGAAAAAAACCCAATGCAAAATGTTTTACTAAAATATAATTTATTTCTTTTTTTTTTCTTTTTTTCTTTTTTTTTTTTTTTTAAAGCAGCAACCTCCAGATAATCTAAGACTTAAAATGGGAAAAAGGGGATCCTCAAGTATTTGCTCTTGGCAAAGGAGGAGCAGCCAGTATCAGGCTGTAGTTCTTAAATGACTGGAAAGATGTATGGCCAGAGGTTTCTAAAGCCCCTGTAAAGCTCTGCATGGGGAGGCAGTGGTACACAGAGTCCTTCCTTTCTGTTGCCTACATAAAGGGCAGGTAGAACATCTGGTCCACATGGCTGGAAAAAGGCAGAAACTGCTCTCCTGCAAGAGGAAGGGCAGGAAATTATTGTTTCAACCCCCTGGTTGATAGTAGGCTCTTCTGAGGAAAACAATTATCATCCTCAGACTGTATTAGCAGATCTATGAATTTCAAGGCCATTCATAGAGATATCTGCAGAAATCTCTTTTAAAATCTCATGGTCTAGCATCTGGGCCCAGAACTTCACAAAATGCAGCAGAAGCAGGAAAAACGGCCACATTTCTGTATGGATAATTTTATGGAAATTACTTTTGAACATTTAGCTGTGGTTGGTATAAAAATGTTCAGAGATGGCAACAGTTAAAGGTAGCTCTATTTCCTGCTGTAGGTCTCCTGCCGTGTCTTACCTGCGGTGTGAGGCATAGTTTCCTGTTACATGACCGCTACCGTCACATCCCGGAGTTGGACAGCTACGTAAAGAAGATGCAATGAGAAACTAGAGTATGTGTAATACTCCACATAGCTCACCCCACCCTGCACTGAATTACATAACGACACTTAGGGCAATCCCATTCATCATTACACATCTCAACATGACCATGATACCACAGAAAACTAGCAAAACTTACATGATGCTTTCAGTTTCCAATTATTACTTGAAGCACAGAAGGAAAAAAGTTTTCCTATTTCTACCATGCAAATTAGTCAGACACTTTTTTTTTTTTTTTTTAATCCATGTAATGTGAAATCACCATGCTTTGGTAGATTTTTTTGGTTATGACTTGGGTTCTTTAGGACAGTTTCATTACTGGTACCATATTTTGACAGCAATTCATAAACTTTAGAGCTGAAGTTTCTGATCTAACCTCCTGTAGGCCAGAGAACAGTTATATCCAAAATAATTCCCTCGACTTCTGACTAAAATAAGGCACCTTCTTTAGAAACACATCCAATCTTTATCTGCTGACATAAGTGAGAAATTAGGTGTTACGGTTGCTTGCAGAACAGAACGCATGTCAAGCTCACACCGCTGCAGTTCAGAATGAACACAAAAGTTTCCCAAGGTGCTTCTCAGCTGAACTGAGAAGTGATATGAAGGTGGTGTACATTTAGAAGAACAGATACATTCATTTCTGCCAAGACCTGGAGGCATGTTTGATCTGGAGGAGAAGGTATAGCTTTTGGTTTTCCTCAACCCTTCTTTGGTCATAGGACTGAGCTCATTTGTCAAATTGGGATGCAGTCCTCTGGAAGAGGGCAAAGATATCAAGAAGTGCAAAACTTGTGCATGAAGGGGGAGGGAGAGGTGAATTAGAGTGTACCTTTCTATAGTATTTTAAAACACTCTAACACCAACCCTGCAGAGTCACCTTATAAAGGGCTGCACCTTCTTTCACTGGGCACGTGGATGAGAAGGGCAAGCAGAAGCTGTACAAAAGCTTTTAAGTAAGATACCCCATACTCATTACTGTGGAGCACCAGCTAAATGAGATTGTCACCTGGCTATTTTCTCTGAGCTGGCAGAGTGCTAGGAACTGTTTCAAATCTGTAAAGAAGCCTTAGGAAGACATCAACCTCGTTTTCACAGCCCTGTTCAACCTGAGCAATGCAGTTATGGGCAAAAGTATTAACATGGAAAAATCAAAAGCACATGACAGGAGGTGGTATTTATAAATTAGTTCCCTGCAACTGAACTAACAATGTCAGAAAAATTTTTCTCTGCGAGTGCTTATGTCATTTTAAAAACTTCCTCATGATGGAGCCACCTGTACTGAATTGTTCTGTGCTCAATGGGATCACAGAAATGCAGTCTGACCCCTATATTACCTATAGATTCCTCTGATAAATTAAAAATATTTCTTCTTTAATTTTCTAGACAGATACATTTTAGAAATCTGTTTCTACTCACTATTTGAAAATAATACATTCAAACCACTGTAAGCTGATCATTGCCCTACTAAATACTCTGGGTATTATTATTTAGGAGACCACAAAAATATTTTACAGACATCTCCAAACAGGTCAATATCACAAAGGAATAAATATGACAAAAGAAAAGCCATTAGTCTTCAGCAAATAAACTCTCAGTGATTTTTGTATGCATCTGTTTTAGAAGAGGCAAAACAAACCTGACCTGTGGCAATTTAGGTCATGAACTACAAGTGGAGAGATAATGTGGTGAGGAGGCAACATGCAGACTGCACGGCACGAGGGGAAAGAATCACTCTTCACAGCAGCTTGCCCCAGGGAAATGGAATTTCTAGAGACAGAGGCGGATCTAACGGATTCAGTGCCACTGAGTCTGGGGAGCAGGACACAAGGCGACGGGATGCGACTCATTTATTTATGGGTGATTCTGCAGCGGTACGTTAGGGGTTATCATCACTAAGCGGTACAGAGTGCACTTGTCTAGAGAGACCTACTCGGGGTTGGGACAGAAAGAACAGTGCTATAAATGATTGCTAAGTCCTAGCTGACTATGACAGTGAAAACAGTCTATTGATGTCAAAATGATGTTGACGTGAATCCAAAGGGGTTTTGGGAGGAGCCTAGATGAGATTTTAAAAAGTGACTAGTGTTATGAGCTGGTTGTGACTATTTTACTGAAATTATTCTAAACTGAAACAATCTGTTGCTTGTAGAGAGAGTTAATGGAATTACCCAGTTTTCTTTGCAGTTTTAGATAGCAAAGTTTTGGAGCTTAAGACAGAGCAAGTGAGTCTCTGTACTTGGGAAAAGAGAGTATTAGGCTCTTCTCCCAGGGTGTGAATTTGTGCATCCACTTTTTCTCAGCAGGACAGAATAACTAACTCGGCTTTAAAGGAAGCAGATGAAGGACTTAAACACAGATTTCATACAGGCTGGAAAACCTTGGGGCAGCTCCTGTCCTGTGTTTTTTCTTTTTACGAACTTTGCATGTTTCCTATCTGAGAAATCCCCCAGCACTTCTCTGCAAGCTCTCAGCGGTGGATCTGTAATGATGACTGTCCAAATACAGTTTATTTAACTAGGTGAGCATTAGCACAGCCAATCTGTAGCACGCTACGAAGCTGTGTGTTTTGTAGAAGGGCTGTTGCCCATTTCTTACCTGGCTGTTTGGGGAGTAAGGAGTGATACCCAGCATTAGTCATGAATCTGTCCAGCCCCTGGGTCAACCCTGGCTGATCTCAGCTCCAAACCTCATGTCTAGGCAGTTGCATACCCACAACAGGGAACTAACTACCTGCAGGTCTCTCTGCTTGGTTCCTACAAATCTACTCCAAACCAGCACTCAGAATAATGACACAGGCAGTCTTTAGCGGAGGAGAACGTGGCATTTTTTGTGACTCACGTGATGAGTTCCTTTTTGAGATCTCTTGAATGGATCTTAGGTTTAGGACTTGGTATGGAGACATCTCCTGGATACTTCTTTTCCTCCATGTTTTCTGGAGAGCTCACTGGATCTTTCTGAAATATTAGAGGAGAATGTGACAAAAGGTTTCTCTCTTCAAGGCCTCCCATATATTCAACAAATAGCTTGCTGTGGCAAGAAGAGAACCTCTTGGAAAACAAACAAACAAACAAAGTCTTAAGAAACAATAGAGAGAGATGAAGAAAGTTTAATACATCATAATATCAGGCTCTCATCTCTCGACTTAAAAAATGTGGAACTGTGTATTTGTGAATCAGGTTTCGATTTATAAAATGGTGATAAATGCCAAAGAAAAGTACACAGAGAAAATAAAAGCAGTTGTTGAATATACAGAGCCAAACAAGATTTCAGTAATTATGTTTTTGTTTTTTTTTCTGTGCAAGTACATCACTGAGTTTTGTATCCAGTTAAAAGGAGTACCATTGTACTGTGAATTACAAAATTGTAATAATAAATTAAGAAAACTTATTACATATAACAGATGCAAATGCAAAGCTTTTCAGGTCTGTAGAACGGAATGACTTGTTATCCAAAGAGCAGATTCTTCTTAAAATAAAAATCCCAAGAACCAAATAGCTTTGAAATTTTCCTAATAGCAGGCTGCTAACAGTAGTTCTTGATTTCTACTATTTGCAGATTAAAACCATCACTGCTGCAGTGCCGTTTGATAGACGGTGTGGACCATGTGTATTCATTCCCATGGGAAGACATTTTGGAAATCTGGAGTCCTGAAAGGAAATGACATTTTTGTTTTCTGAAAAATCTTTGATCACTTCAAAATAGCTTGATTTATACCCTTTTGAGAATTAATGACTTCAATTATTATTATTCAACAATAATAATTATTAATATTCAATTATTATATGCAGGATAAGCATTTCCTTTCTGGAGGGATGCTCTGTGGATATTCTATTGTTCAAGAAATCTCCAAACCCTGTAGCATCAATTATCAAATCTCTATGAATCCCTTCTGGGACTCCACGTTGGTTTTGTGACTCTGTTCCAATACTCAGGTAGGTATTGCCCAGAGATTACCGTCCATAGGAGCAGAAAATGCTGCCTGTGGTTGAGGGGAGAAGCTCCTGCTAAACTCACAGGGCTGGTACCATCGATGCTCTGGGCAAACGTGCCAGGACAGAGGGGCAGGGATGGCTGCAGAGCTGTTAACACAGAGCAGAGGGCTGAGAAGAATCTGGACTGAAAATGGAGATTCTGCCTAACGGGACTTGTAAGCTCTGCGGGGGTGTTTCTTCTGATAAAGCTTCCATATGGTCCTCAATTCTGGCAGCTCATCACTGCCTGTTTGGAGACTAGATCCTTGATATGACTTCCTTCTGCTTTCTGGTACTGGCTACCTGCTGCCTACTGCAACTCACACTACACTTACATATAGAAACCATGCCATGTTATTGCTACATCAATTACTACTGGTTTTTGCAACCACATTTGTGGGGTTAGTTTGTTTGGGAATAATCTCATCTGCTACAAACATAGAAAGCAAAAATACATATATTCAGGTTTTCTAAACACTCATAGTAATTATCGAGTAATTATTTCAAATGAAAAAATCAAAAACTCTGATATATTTCAGGCTTTTAGACTTTTATTTCTAAAGGAAAACTTCAGGTAGGGAGTAATAGACAAAATTAAAACCAGTGCTAGGTATTGTTAAAATGTTAATGCAGGAATAACAAATAGTTGAAAGTCCTCCAAGCGTGAAACTAAAATGCTAAAATCCAAAAGTGGAAAAATGAGTGCCAGCTTTGTTTAAGATTCAAGAAACCTCAAAGACTGTTTTCCAACACTGAGTTAAATCCTGGTTCTGGCGGCATATGAGGGTGGTTTTGCCACTGCAATCTGCAGGATGGGGATTCTAGCTCCTGACTCTCTGTCCGCAGGTTCTCCCCTGCTTTTCTTATGTACACATAAGGGCAAAGTCGTACAGGGATCATCCCCAGCGTAAGCCTCTGTAAAAGCAACAAGCTCCCAAAAGAAGCAACGAAATTGTGAACTGTCTGTTGCCACCTGCAAGGGGTCAAATGTCAAAATAACTCTGAAAAACACAGGTGAGAATGTAATGGGGGTTGAAGAAGGCTGGCTTATGGGTTTTCTCTCTATCAGCTAACTGATAGGCTACATCTGTATCACTGAACTGAGGACCAATGCGGTGTTTCTAAAATTTTAGTGCACGCCTTGACTGGATCCTAAATGTGTCAAGACCAGGCACACATCAGCCTCCTCCACTTCTTGTCAAAGATTCAACTGAGAGGAGCCTGGAGTAGCCTGGTCTTTCCTGGTGGTGAAAAGACGACCCTGGCACCCCACTGGGATCCTGAGCTCAGGATGCACCTCCATCAAACAAGAGTAGCTGTAACCGTTTGTGCTGCTGTGTTTATTAATATTTTAATATATAGAGCTTGTGTTCTTTATCTAAAATGACACGTATTTCTTGATGTTTTGCTGATGATGGACCAGAAGCTTGTGTACGTGAGTTATTCATCATGTCACTGTCTGATACTTGCTGCACAGGGAGGACTGATTGAGAATTATGTATATCAAGGCTTGACAAAGTACTATAGTATTGCAGGTCACAGCTTTGTTTAATAATGTTTCACGGAATGGTTTAACAAAAATAAGATTGTGAGATGAAGGTTGACGTGTGATCATGATCTACAGTCACCAGCATAACTGACACCTAGATGGTTTAGAATTGAAGTATTTTCGTTTTATATCTTTGAAATTACTTTTTTTTTTCAAATCTTAATGGTGAATTTCCTGAATTGACTTTTTAAGTTTTGTAATTTATTTAAAACAAAGGGAAGGCAGGCATACAAATACCAAACCTCTGCCTTTCTAGGACCTTACATCAGCAATGTGGCCCAAAGGGGCTGTGTCTGTCTGAAACGAGCACATCAGACCAAAAGAACAAATATTTTTTTGTTCTTTCACACTTAGGACTGAGAGGAGAGCATCATGCCTTGGCTTGTGTGCTTTTCCAGAAATTCAGCTTTAGAGAGAGATATAAACCTTTGGGAAAACACCTTTAGTGCCTCCCACTTTTTGGTCTGTTAGGTGACGATCACCACAGCTAGTCAAGTCCAACCATACATATAATTTCTCCTTTCCCATTTGGATGGATTTATAATTAAATGCTATTAAAATTCTGAAGAATTCCAGACTAAAAGGAAAATCAGAACCAGCCCAATCAGTCCAAACACTACTATTTTCTGCAAAGAGCATGTGTGTATTCACGCATGCACACTACAGAAAGAAAGCAAGTAATGAAACTCCATTAATGTACAGATGGAACTTTATATTGATTTCAGCAAAGACCAGAACATAATGGTAACATGAATAACAGATAATAGCATCTGGCACTTTTAACATTTTTAAGCCCTGAAATCTTTGGAGAACTGACAGTTGAACTAACTGACAGCTCTAGTTATTTCTCAGTGCTTTCCTTTTGGAGAGATTTTGAGCTTTTTCCAAGTTCGGATTTTTTTTTTTTTTTAAGGGGCATCTGGACAGGCTATTTCACTGAGAGAGAGAGCGACAATATTTTCTGGAAATTACCACCAAAATTAAGCAACTGTTGTGCATATGAACTAGATAACAATGAATTAGAAATAGATATAATCAGTCATTTTCTTTGTATCAGGATAACTGCCAGTCTTCGATTTGCAAAACAGAGCCTCTGGCCCTGAGATCGCTGGACACATCAACACCCCCCAGGATGACAAAAGCCCACAGCAGAGGTCTGGGGTGAGACCCTCGGGTAGGGACAGACTGCACAGTGTCAAAACACCAAGCGCAAGGGGCAAGAGTGCCTTTGCACAGACCTTTATGTCTGGTCAGTAGATTTACTCCTGTCCATGTCTTATTTAAGTGCCAGGTTTGATATTTGAACAAAATATAATTCTGTAATTAATATAAATATCAAATTTTATTATTTAATATAAAGAAACAAAGAGGGAGGAAATTTATTTGAAGCTGAATGAAAACTCCAAATTGGGACATCTTTTATTCTGTTTCAGAAAACTCAGACTTGTCTCTGTTAATTACCAAGATTTTGTTAAAGGCTAATTAGCCTCTAATGGTCTCTTTCTGATTTAAGAAATATGCAAGCAATCCATAATCTGACAGCCAGGCTCAAGAGAAAAAAAAATAAAGTCAAACTTGTCAGCAAAACTGAAGAATAGGAAAGAAAGACAAAGAAGGGAGAGTGGACTGCCATGTTGCCAAGATAGGATAAATAGACATAAAGAGAAAAAAAGAAACAAAACCAAAATCAAGACAATTATCAGATTGGAAGTGGCAGTTTAAAAGATTAGCCATAGAAGTCGTGAAGTTACTAAATCAAAATATTTTCTGAAATTTTATTTGCTCATCTTTGTTTCTGCAACTGCATTTTCAAATTTGGGCTTTTACATTTCCTAAAAAAATATTGCAGGCAAGATTCTAAGAATGTGTTTAAATGCTTAGATAATGGATTATCTAGAATTATAAAGAGGTGGTGTGGAAAAGTCACTTTTTGTTTCAGCATGAAAAAAAACTACCTTGCTTTGGTTTTGTTTGTGTTTCTCCCCCCCCGCCCCGAGTGATCCGTAAGTTATTTAGATGATTGTGCTACAGGACTGAGCCATTAGGAAAAAAATTGAAAAAGCAATCTGTAATGGTGGATACCTTTGATTTCCTTATCTTAGAGACTTCTAGGCATCCACAGGTAGGCTCTGAGAGCAAGATTTTTCCAAGTGAGTAGCGATTTTTTATGCCGCATCTAAGAGAGGATTCAAGCCAGCTCAACGTTCACAAACCTCTACCTGTGGAAATTGATTTGCTTTAAACTGCATTAAACTGGTCATCCCAAAGGCCATCAGATGGCCACGCATCCAAGGGAAACAGTCACTCAGAAACTGAAAAGATACCTCTTTTTCTTCTTCTCTCCTGCCGTGGGTCTTGCTGTAGTTGATTGGTGTATCCCAGCCTTCCTGTTCACAAAGGGCCTGGTAGAAGGCTGCATTTACCAGGATGCTGCTTCTTTTGAAAGGAGAAGAGGAAGGAGTGGGAAGTGCTGTGCTGGAAGAAGTGAGAGGCATAACTTTGTCTTGGCTTCGGTTCTTTTTCATGCTCAAATCCAGAGTGCCATTTTCATCCACTTCTATCTCAGCTCCCTGACATGCAACAGGAAAGAGAGACGTGTTTAGACGTGGACATGGTGAGGCTGCAACATAACCATGTGGTGCTTTTAAAGGATAAATATAAATGCACGCTTTTATTTAAATTTATCTGAATCTAAAACCAGCTTTTCGATTTATTCCAGTTAATGTCCAACTCTTAGGCAGACTTAAGAGTAGCTTCAGTAATGGTATCCCTGCATCTCAGCTTAAACATAGTAAGTAGACTTTAAATAAGATGCTTCTAAACCGTAACCTATACACCCTAAATCTAGTTTTATTTAAAAAAAGTTTAGCTTTAAATCTTCTTGATCTTTTCACTCTTACAGAGAACTATGACCCCAATTCACAGTTAAAAGCATTAATGCGTTGTTTAGGTCATCAACAGCATTACTATAACATAGCCTCCCTTCCCCCCACGCCCCAGAAACATCACAACATCTGCATCATGGGGGACAGAAGGAGGGGGGAAGAAATATGCCTCAAAGTAGCACAGTAGGAGACATTTTCACTAGGGTTTTGTACATCACTCAACAGAACATACCGCCTTAATCATAGTTCGACTAGACCTGCACTGAGACCACTAAACTGAGAGCCACTGGAGGATCTTCAGGACCTTCTCCCTGATGGAGACCTTCATCAAGAGTTAGCAAAGCCTTTGCTACCTGGGAAGTACAGCAAAGAGCAGACTCTGGTTATAGGAATGTGTGCAGTTTGTGGAGAGAACAAGGGAAGGAAAGCTCACTGTTCTGTCTTACCCTGTCTGACTGCAGAAAAAGAGGACAAACTCTTCTTCTTGGAAATGATGAAAAGCTCCTGAAAGTGCAACTTAGTAATGGAAGCAACCAAAAACTTCCCTTCATTCTCACTACGCAACACTGCATAATGACGTGTCATGTATATAGAGATACATACAAGGTTAGTCCTTGCTAATGCCAACAATGACCAGAGTCAAGTAGAGGAAGAGGTGAAAGAGGTGGCTTCAGGAGGAGCACTTGGTAGTCTAGTTCTGTGTGTTGCCCTGGATAAGGTGGAAAACCTTCAAAGACTATAGAAATAACTAACAACATCATAGATCTATATGGGCATGTAAAATGCTGTAATTAACACTGCTCTGTGTCTTCCTGTTATTGTCATCGCTACTATTTTTGATTTGCATCACCACAAAGCGTGGATACCACTGGGGAATTTGGAGCTAGATCTGTTTGGTACTGTATAACTGTAGGAGACAGTCGTATAGACCCAGACTGAGACTTCCTACCTTCAGTAACATAAAAATAAACCCATAGAGTAAGTGAATCACCTAGACACTCTGTTGTAAATGCAAAAGAGATGGGTATGTCCAGGGGGTAAGTTTTTCTGTCTTTCTTAGACCTCTTCCTTAGGAAGAGATGAGACTGGCAGAAAGAGTCCCTTTCTCTTTCTTCCCTTTAACTGTTGGTGGACCTTGATAATTAGTCAACCATTTAATGGTCAAAGATATGGCAGTGAAACTTGTCCTTGCCTGAGGATCTTAAAACCAGTTGTGGTGAAACAGGAAATTCTTCCCCTGTGCTGAGAGTGGGACATGGCCACCCCGATTGAACCGAAGGCACAGGCTTCCTTCATGCAGCCTGCTCTTCTACCACTGCCAATGGTGATTCATTCAAAAGTAAAATGCATCTCATGAAATTTTTTTAATCAGAAGGAAAATGTTGGTAGAAGATGAAAAATTAAGGCCCAGCAATCTCTCCTCACTCGGGCATCCTGACTGCATGTTGTACCCATGCCTCTAAGACAGATGCCCACCTAGACTGAAGCACTACCAAGCCATCTGCTAGTCCCTGGTTCAGAAATCCAGGCACCTCTTACGTTTGCTTCTCCTGCATAGCAAAGTTCGCATTTTCAATCATACAGCTTAAAGAGAGAGATGTTTTATTATATTTATGGGAAGTAAATACACTTCTAATATGTTCATACTAAGACGCTTTGGTTATATCTTTCTGCCCCTTTTTAGTAAATAGTTTAATCTCCTGTGATAGTTTTAAGCCCTGAATTTGACAGTGCAGCTTATCCTGGATAATAACTTAGTAACCACAACATCTTATGCCATCTGTATAATATCAAATACATTTTTATACCAGCATTAATAAACCTTAGTTACAAAAATCCAAGATATTAACTATATCAGTGCCAAGCACACACTCCAGGATCTGACAATATAGCACTGCCATGATCGCCCCAGTGTTTTTTGGCTTCATAGCTGATATGTAACTATAGCAATGAAACAGAGCTACAGTAATCAAATTTAATGGCCAATGTAAAGTAAAATGCTAAATGTTGTAGTTGCTGACATTTTTCGTAATAAAAAAAAACTTGGGTTAAGTCTGCACAACAAACATTCACATAAAATTCCAGACCTCTGTGACAGATGGCTTAGGAAAGGAAGCCATGTGACTGGGCTGCAGTAGTTTTATAGTGCAAAACCCATAAATAGTGCAGATTCTCTGTCACTGACAAAATATCAACTACTCAGAAGGCAACAGTGACAACAAAAAGGACCAAAATCAGTCGAGCTCCTCTCCTCGATGAAACTGTACACAGAAAAATATCTCTCTTAGATACCATTAACTGCAACTGGGAGCTCTGGCTAATAAGCAGAACATTTACTAACATGAATATTTAAAGCTTCCTCAGTACTTCCCTGAAATTCCCGTAGAAGTTGGGTTGTCCAGCATGCACTTAATTCTGCTCAGGGAAGGCTGGGTTGTGTGTTTGTGAAGTAGCGTACAGATGGAGTTTAAGTGAGCTCACAGATGCACACAACAATTAAATATAGTCACGGAAAAAATATCCCCTTTTGCCCATCACAGGATGGATCACAGGTCTACAGCATGGCTTTTTGTTCAGAATGGTAGAAAAGAGCTATCACTTTGCTGCCTTCGTAGCAAACTCCAAATGGCAGAGCAAAAAGAGAGAATAGTCAGAGATACTGCTCCAGTTTTCATTCCTACTCACATCCCACCCTCCTCTCAATATGTGTCCTTTGCTTGTTTTACCACGTTTATTTTTACATTAATTTTAAAATTGAACTAAAAAAGATGAAAATGGCAAATGGGAAAAAAAAATTGCTAGAGCACTGCTGTGACACGCTGACAGAAAATGGCACTTACTATGCTCAGCTCAGACTTGTAAAGGCTGTGTTCTCCTCAGTGAAGGCGAGATCTTACTACTGTTGATTCTAGAGCATGTATGAACAGGACTACACGACATATGTAAAATACAGCTACCAAAACAATGTAAACTGTTCTGATTCTTCCTTGAATATATAAGCAAAATAAAGATGCAAATGTATCTTATTATTTCTTAACCTATATTACCTTGCAGCTGTGTAAATATTTGGAGCCTGATTTTGATCTTATTTACATTTACATTTGCATTTACTAGGAAAAAATCCACTAAAGCAATGAAGACTAATAAGACTGTGAGGAAATACACAGAGTAATTAAATGCAAGTTACTCCTTATCTATCAGTGACAGTGTAATCACCTCCACAGGTTTTACAGCTGTAAAAAGGATTCCAGAATAAAAAACGAGAGAAAAATCACTGAAGATTATTCTCTTTATTCAGGGATCTGTTCAGTGAAAAGATAAGGTACAAGTCGTACTCCACTATGAATATCTATCTAAAATGAAGTCTAATATAAAAAGGTAAACAAATAATGGGCTCTGTCCTCTTCAAGTGCTTTGTACTTTAAAGATTTTTCAGCCTCCTTTATTTTATGACATAAATATTACAGAATATTTTCTAGTCCATTATTAAGTCTTGTCCTTAGAACTGAACTACATCAGCTAGGTCAGCAAAGGCTGTTGTCTTTGGTGATAAATTCCTCCTGCATTTTTTCATAGGCTTTTGGTCCATCTGATCGCTCACAACATTTAATACTCTGCAGTGTGTCTCCAGTAACGATTACAAGTTAAGCTTTATCTCATAGCTGGATCAGAAAGAGTGAATTATTGTGTCTGCATGAATCTTATTTCAAACCTGTGACCTTAGGGAGATTGCATCGTTACATATATAAGGAGTTTTATGTATTCCTTAGTTGTCCTCATCCATACAACTTAGTGCTAAGTCCAAAGAACCAACATTATCAACAATTTTGCATTCCCACAAGCAGATCAGCCTAGTTTGGAAAGCTCAAAAGATCTCTTTGGTTCTGGTATTGAGAGTAACTCTGAAGCTAGTATCTTGCCATGTGTATGAATACTATTCTTAATGCAACTCCACCAAAAAAGGACAATCTTTTCTATTTCCAGCCAATAAAAATACATACACATCAATTCTTCAGACTTAGATTTAAGTCATTGAGTGCTTCTGCAGCAAATTACAATAATGATGTGGGTCAACACAGGAAAACTTGTAACTGCCCAGCAACATCTGAGACAAAACTGAAGTCACAATTTCAGCCCAGAGCAATTCATAAATTACAAAAAGCTAGCCAAGAGTGCACTCAAGGAGGAATATGCACAGCAGTGTAACGGGATAGTACCTAGTGATACTCTTGGCTGATTTTTCACGCTGTATTTAGGCTTTAAGATATTTGTAGTAAAGGACTGCCTGACAAACATCCCGAGTACTAACTACATCGTTGAAATAATTGATGTAATTATCACCATCATCAATATGCAAGAATGGAGAGATGACTTAATTTTGTTCAAAACTAGAATTTGAACTTTAAACATTTTTAGCAAGTGTAATTTTTTTGTTTTCTTTCAAGGCATAGCGCACATATGCCGTTTTGTCTAAACAGGTGGGAAAAACACCAAAACAGTAAAAAAAATTTTTGGCAAGCAGTAGCGATGAGGATACAGACAAACTGTATTGTTTGCAGCTACCTCTGTGAAACATGAATGTGGTGAGGGCTGTAAACAGGGAAGATCCCTCTATATTAAGATGATGTAGACTCTTGCACTATGCTAGAAGCTACAGGCTAAGCCTTCTAGGGGAGTTCTGTTGACTTCAATGGGTCAATGTAACATTAATGTGGTATTATTTATTTTTGAAAACAGTATCATCAAGGTATCTGATGATCTTAGTATTTTGTATGCAGCTGATACATAATTCATTGAGAAAGCTTAGGATCCATTTTACTGCTCATTTGTGAATAAATTTATTCTTTAAACTGCTTACTTTATAAATTCATAATTTTAATCTTGAGATTTTAACAGATCACCTTTGTACATTAAATCTCTTTGGAAGTTTTGCTTACCAATGGTACTAATTAATGAGTAATCTGATTTCTCTTGCTACCCTTCTCTTTCTTTTTTTGGCTTAGACTCTCCCTTTTGAACTGATCTGTAGAGAATGTGAGATATATATCTGAAAAATCCATTAAATTAATGAAATATGGAATTGTGCTGTTAAAAACATTTCATGTAAGTGTTATCTATAGTCACATAAAAATTATGAAAACTTAACTATTACTAAAAAACGGACAACACCCTGGAGGTCAAGAAATAAAATCTGAGAGACAGAAAGAAAAAAAAAATACTTCAGGAATCCACTTGTGCTAAAAAATGTTTTGGTATTTTCCCCACCTGTTTAAGCAAGGTGACATATGCATGCCTTCTTGAGAGAATACAAGAACATGACACTTGCTTGAAATGTTTGAAGTTCCAGCTCTACTTTTAAAACTTAGAAACACAATATTTTTACAGCTCTGAGAATGTTTAACTTGCAAAGGATTTCCAGCAAGCCCAGGAAATCCTCTGCAGTCCCACATGTCCTTGCTCTACCACCACACCGCCTCCCATCTGCAAAGGGTGGTGGCTTGGATTGCTGAGATGCTGCCCGATGCTCATACCAGAGCAAATCTCTTTCACAAGTCAGAAGCTTTAATCTGCTAAAGTATGGACAATGCTCATGGAGTTTTTTAGGCAAAGGAACAAAGGAATGTGGCAAGAGCGAGGGCTGAGAGGTTCAGCTGACCCTATGGGGCTCTGAGTCCAAACACTGATAAAGTCTCAAGAGATGTTTTTTGTAATCTAAAAAAATTGTAAGATATTCTATCAGTTAAACATTTACCTTTGTGGCCAACACCAGCCACAAAACAATTCAGAAACATTGATAAATACATAGCAGCCTCTTTAAAAATAGCCTTATTTTTTGCTTTGTGTTTTAAAATAAGAAAGCACCTGGCAATTTATGTCCACATTTATTTTTTCTTTGAATCCTCTGTGATAAAAATCATAAATAGCCAAAACCCAATAAAACCAGGGTTTATGTGGTTTTGGCCACCAAGTCTGTTTGGGGCTTACTTGCCTGTGTTCTGGCCAGAAGCTAATTCTGATTCTTCTGTCAGATGTTTTGTAGCAGTATGCCCTCCAGAAAGTCTGGCAAAAGTGGAGGCAGGCAGATAGCAAGGTATGCAGGTGATTTTCTTTTAGGCTGGATTCCTGGCTGTGAAAAAGGAGTAAGCTATGTGCCCCAAGTGTCCCTCCATATCGTTACTATTATGTTCGCTTCCATTCAAACCTTCCCTGTGATTTGGCAACTGTGAAGCAGGTATGGAGGAGAAAAATCTTTGGGTTATGCCTGGTCCCTTTACTGCTCTTCTCTGGCAAGAAAGGTCTATTGCTGAGGTCAGCCAAAGGCTGCGGCAGCAATTTAATCCAGCCATTGGCGCCAGTTTCCATTTCCCTGTTAGAAGAAGTCTCTATCGAAGACCGGTGCAAAGAGCTTTTTGCAGCAGATATGAGATGGATCTGTCATCTGGGAAAGGTTCCGTGGGCAATTTTTGGGGCAGATAATATCTGAGTTACAGGGGATGCATGTGGACACACTAAAAAGTCTACCTCGTGGCATCTCCCAACATCCATTTCAAGATCCAAGACTTCACATGTAGAAATCAAAGGCAGCAAAGTAAGGGATACCACTCTGCAAAAGTGCCAGGCTTGGAATACCTAACGAGGTGTTGTGCTGGTGCTAAAATTAATGGTTCCACTCAAACAATAATAGCTAACCTCCTAGTGATAGTGATTGGAGGGCCAACAAAATTGTAGACCAGCAGCTGGGGAAGCCACCTCTAAGCAGACTGAGCCTGGTGCTACAATAGACAAGGTAGAGTGACACTGACTTGCAGAGAAACAGGTCACCTGTGTTTTGGAGCACACATCATGACTCAAAGTCCCCCAGCAGAAACACACCTGCTGCTCTGTGTTTTTGATAAATACACTCTCGAGTGATTTCTTCTCAAGTTCTTATAATGGCACCCTCTCATTTACACAGAGCTTTCAAAACTTTCATTGCAGTGGAGCGTGTGTGACTTTAATCCAAATAATAAACAACAGTGCTCCCTCAACCACGGTCATTAGAAGAAAATCTTGCCTATTTTCATCAGCAGTATAATACTATGTAATGGCACAGAAAATAAGGCTCGTAGTTCACGCAGTACCATTTGTAAATCATAAAGATCTGCGAGGAAATGCAGAGCAGAAACCAGAACATGAAAGCCACACAAACATCTACGATATTAGGCAGCTTTCCATTACGACAGACTTGCCCAAATTATCTGTCTCCAAACGCTGTGGGCCTGATTCTCCTCTCTTGCCAGGAGAAAGGAGAATTTTACCAAAGTCAGTTGTTATTTCCCTCCCCACACCTTGTCAAACTGTCATGAGCTCCAAACACAAGACACTCCATAGGTGTAGTTCTGTTCCATTGCTAGCAAAATGTCACCTTGATTAATCACCATTTTTATTATTATTATTTTTTTAATCAGCCTCCAAAATGATCGCTTATGGCAGACTTCAGAGGGAGGAACATTCCCTCTTTAAACAGATCTAACTCGTTATCCACCACAGATTGTTGTTGGATTTCAGATATCCTTCTTTTTTCCTCCCACAAAACTTCCCCCTTGCATTTAGGGCTCAGTTACGAAAAGAGTAACAACACAATTCCTGCTATTGATTTATTTTTATCAGAACTGGTCACTGATTTTTTTCTCTGTCTCTCTTCAAAAGAGCATGCAAACAGAAGCCTCCTTTTGGGGGATTTAATGCAGTCACTAACATGAAAGACAGTTTATTCGCACAGTTCAGTAGCTAGCACACCCTCCAGGTTCTTGGACTACCCTACCTTGGCAGACAGACTCTGTGGTTTGTTGGAGAGGATCTCTGCTGCTTCCCTGCAGCGGGTGGAAAGGTTCAGGATAGCAGCAGCTGCTGCTATGTGGGTGTCTTCACTACATTGACCGTAGCTACAAGAGTTGGCATGGCAAGGGCTCTGTGTGTGGGCGCTAGCACTAGGCAGTCGATTAGAAAATTTCACTGGATTTGAAAAATGCTTTGCTGTTGAAGAGAGATTTGATTAGCAATTGCACATATGAGATTTTTTTTTCCCCCATTAAATAGTTTTGCTTCTCAGACTACAATTTCATACATTAAAATATTCAAATAATAAATTTAAAACAATTCATTTCCTATTGGCAGTAAGGGTTTGCTGTAAAAATGGCTTCAGAAACATGATAATTTAACTTTTCCCCGACAAATACACATCTTTCAGCAAGACATCTGAGACTCTTACTCAGATTTTACTCATTCTTTACTCAGGCATTGAAAACAATGATATCCAAAGAAAGACTGAACAAGCATTAGTGTGTTATCTGTCATGATCTGACAACACTGGTGAGCAGATGCAATTGTAAATATATCCTTATAAACTCTTCCTTTGGAGCTCTATTGTGTAAAAAAACAACGGTGACTTGTTCAGTCTTAGCTGAAACAACACTGCTTACCCTACTTAAATGAATAAGTCTGTTATTTAAATAGCTTTGCTTATGTGAGTAAGGAAAACAAGACCAGGCTCTTGAAGGAACCAGAGCAATCAGACAAGAACATTACCTGTTAGGAATATTCAGTCCTGATTTCATGGAAATTTTTAGAAATTTTAGTACCTTTTAATCGATTTTTTAAAAATGAAAATGCACATTCAGAATAAAACTCATCTTGGCTTGCTGTCTTATGCTGGCTATTGTTTGGAATAATGCACAAATGTATTAGGCACAAAGGGGTCAGCTGAGAATGAAAAACGAAGAGGTGAACAGAAAAGCACTTTCACAGGCAAAAGGAGTGTGTGTGGTTCTGTTTTCTGCTCCATCAGCACCACATACTCTAAAACAGGTAGAAAGAACTCTGCTCTCTATTCTGGATTTTGGAGCTTGAGTTGCAGGGAAAACGCAGCACCATGATCTCAACTCTTAGGAAGCAATAATCACTTCTTTTGTCTGTAGCTCTCACAGTGTCCTACAAAGAGAAACTAAGCAAAATCCAGTTCCTCAACCTACACCCAGACACATGAAGAACATTTCTGCACATGGCCATCTGCTCACTCCATAAAGGTCTGAGCCCCAAGGCTCTGGATCCCTTTGGATGTGGAGCTGTGGCTGAGTGCATTTTAATGCTAAGACCTCCACAAGCCATTGAAGAACTTATCTTTCCTCAAACTTGGGATGCTCTCGGTGTTTGTTTGTATGCACTGACTGTAGCTGTGTGCCATATTCAGTTTTTTCCAAATACTGGAGGCACCTCAGCAGAGCAATACATAAAAGCCTCATGAGTCAGCTCTCCCTTCTTCCAGAGCAAATGAAAAAGGATTTAACTACTCTGCTGTAAACTGCAGCACAAGCAGGAAGGTCTACATTTTTTAGCAGTTGGTACAGCTAACTTCAAATTATACTTAAAGAGCAAAAAAGTGCATTTCCCACTCTACACCCTAAGAGGTAAAAAAAGCACAAGCTTTGAAGGTGCATATTTTGGTAACAAATCAGGTTTATAAGTGCAGAATCCACAGAGAGCTGATGATGGGCTTTTGGTTAGCTACGTATTTACGCAGAACGCTGAACTAATCATTACATGATCAGCTTCTTATTGCCAGCTTTTGTATATCTGCGTAGTTAAAACACTCACCTGCTCTTTTACTTTTACCTTTCCATTAAAATAATAGCTGCACACTGCAATCTTGGCAAGAACAACAAGCTGTAAACTTCAGTCCTGATATACATTATACATAAATTACAGACGTATGGATTTGCATTTGTATAAAAACATTTTGATATTTTTTTTCCTTGAAATGAACCCATGAAATAGACATACATCTCTGCAAAGAGACAGCTAATAGGAAATATCCAATTTTACAAACAATATTGGAAAATCTGCCACCCAAGAAGCTGGCAATGCACATATTTGCTTTCATTTGAACAAAGCTATTTTCGAGGCCAGATAAATATCTATTTTTCATTTGCAATTGTAAATGGGGTGCTTATATATATATATATATACACAAACACATTGGTACCTACAAACATATATGTATGTGTGTGTACTGAGACACATACACAAATAAATACACAAATGTATAAATGCTATAAATACATAAAACATATACAATATTCTATAGTATTAGAAGTATATTATGTTGTATGTGTATATATGTAATTTTCTGCTTTTCTGTTCACCTTACTATGAATGTTTGCCTTTGTTGGGATAAGTGGGGTGCAATTTGTTCTCCTTTTTTGTTTTCCTTTACTAAATTTTTGTCATGAATAAAAGAAAAAAAACAACTAAAGAGCCTTTTTTTCACATTGTTTTGAATCCATTTTCTTCTGAACCCAAATATGGTGCAATGAAACCCTTTTTTTTTTTTTTTTCCTATTTGCCTTAAGGCAACAGGATCATTTATTTCTTTGAACGAAAGGGTATTTTGTAATGGTCAGTACAATGGCAGAATCTTGCTGGTTTCCCATGCAGACTGTAAAGATCATCTGCAGTAAATAATCAGTGCTCACACTGTGGTATCTCATTTGTACAGAGTAGTAGCTCAGCAAATCTGTAAGTGATGCAAGCAGGGGAATCTCGATAGCAATCTGGTGCATTGGATTTGTCTGCACTACAAATATCGTGGAGTACAGAAATATGAGAGATCAAAATGGATTCAATCCAGGCCTGGAAGTAAAGCATCTGAGGCACATGGTCATCTAGGAGGAATAATATCTATATGGATGCATCTACAAGGTGTCCAAAAAACCTTTTAAAACCCAATTTATATTTCTCTGTAATATAATTCATAATATCTTATGCAGACACATTCCATGGGACTTCTCATAGCAGCATCTTATCATGCAAGGATATCACAATTTAACCAAGGAGGAAAGTAACAGATAAGACATAAACCGTTCCTTTTCACTCCTCTTTTCCCCTGATAATTGCTTTCAAAATAAATGTCAAAAAAGTAAACCTTAGAGTGATTATATTTAGTGTTCTAACATTTATTTAGCAAACTGGTGATTATATTTAGCATTCTGGCCATAAGTGCTTAAAGATGCTTCCTACAGAGATTTTTTTGAATTCTACAAATCTGAAAGCAGAACAAGCAAAAAAAAAGTCATTGACATTTTGCCCATTTTCCGAGAGACAATGGAATGTTAAGCTTACATTCAAGGAATTGGGGTGGCTTTCGTCCTTGTGCCACAGGTGCTACTATGCGTTTGCCAAAGACTTGTGCATCAAAGCTGGCATAATCAAATGGTACTTTCCCAAACTTCTCCTGTTCTTTCATCAGGGTGGCTCTGGAGGAGATGACTGGCTGTGAAGGTCTGTAATTGTACTGAGCTGCCTCAGGCTGCTTGGCTGAATTTGTCCTAGAGAGAGAGGAGAGAAAGAATGAATGAGAAAGACAAGAATATCTTTAAATAACTTTTTCTTGATAAATAGGGTGCAGTTGCATCTCAGTATCAGGAGGTATTCTGTTACCACATATAAATCTTACTGGTAGTTGTATACAAGAAATAAATAATGTAAATATGGTAGCTGACCTAGCAAAGAGTACTTTGACTTCATACAAGATCAAAGCTGTGGACATTAAAAAAATCTAGTATTCTCTAGTAACTCTGTGGACTATTTACAAAAAAAAGATGCTGATTTATGTCTAGATTACCACTGTAGCATGGTGCTTCCTTTATTTCTAAAAATTGTCTGGATTTTTGCTAGTCAAGGGACTTGAAGTTTTATGGATCACTATCTTTCTCACTTTACTGTGAACGAGTATGGTTTAAATATAATATAAGATGATCCTAAATAATTGCTTCTGTTATTTGGGAGGAAAGAATGATTTATAGGGTGTTATTCCATTTGGTTACTGTTCAGTAGCTACTTGTCTTTAGTCATTTCCTAAAGACTTTTCATATGTAGAGTTAAGGCACGTGCAGTTGGCAGACACATGGACATAATGTTCTGTAATGGCTCTGAAGGAACCATTAGAGCTGATCATGTCAATAATCCACAAATTAAAGTGTCCCCAAATAGACCTGAATATAATAGGTTGTAATGGTCATGGTGCCAATGATGTGCAAATTATGCACGTCTGTAGGGTCTGAATAAGTCTCAAACAAAATACAATTGCAATAAAAACGTTTCCTATTTTTGATGCCATTGTATAAAAAATAAATTAAACTAATTAAAGAAACTCAAAAAAATGAATTATTCATTGGTGGGGAAACAGACTGAGCAAAGTTCTCAACCCTTTCAGGTAACTGCAGTGCCAATACAACATGCTAATTGGGATCACTGGAAGATTTCTCTGAAAATAATCACAAAATAAATGAGGACTGTGCTTCTAAAAGTGCAGTAAGGTCAAAAAGATTTTTTTAATCAAGTTTCGGTGGCCAAGACATTGTAACAAAGGAAGAGTTCTTGAAAATTGTTTAAACAACTTCAGAAAAACAGAAATTTTGGTTTTTGGGAAAAATACATTTGAGAATCATTGATTAGGGTATTTGTGTTGAGGTAAGATGTAGCAGAACATATTCGATTGCTTTTCAAAAGATACATCTGTTGTCTTTAATGTCAGCCGCACGCACAAGAACCAGCAGAACTCTGCTTGTTCATTTTGAGATGCAGTCAAGTCATCCAGCTTTGCAGAGGTCCATCTTGAAAGACTGACTTACCTCTGTAGCTAAATCTGAAGTGGTTGAAAGACTCAAGGAGTGATCAACAGCGTTTGTGCAGAAATACTTCAGAGAGATTAGTCCGTGAGGGCTCCTACCTGTGAGTCTGATCATGGCACTGCCCAGCTTTCGGAGACTCGAGCTGGTTCTTTTCCTGGGACATTGCCAACTTTTCAGCTGCAGCAATTGGACAACCAGAAAGGCTGTTTAAAAGCAAAGTGAAGAAAAGAAAAAACAAGAAAAAAAACCCAACATTAAAATAAGATCTCAAGTAAAGGAAATGTGTGCTTTGGAACCCAATGACTTCAAAGTTCTCTGGTGCCCTTTGCATCTATAGGAGCTGCTGCTATTACAGCCCAGAGTCATCTGTTTCTCACCCTTCATGCAAAACTGTGAAATCTGCTTATTTGAGGTGATCTATCTGGAAACTGAATCACATAGGAGTTTTCCTCGGTTCAGATTTGATGTTTTGTGGATGACAAGTCACTAGTAAATTTTTTGACAAATTACACTTACTTTATCAGCTAAACCATGTGTATGAAACTCCTGCTGATTAAAAGGAAAGTGAATTTGGGAAAAAAAATCAGGTATGTGAGCAACTGTTACCAAAAAAACACATTTTGTCATTTCAAGTTGTGCTTCCATTTTGTCTTTTTAAGTTTTGTTTCCTTTTTTTTTTTTTTTTTTTTTTTTTTCTTTATTAGATAAGAACATATTTTCTTGTCCTATTCATGGGTTGCTTATGATACAGCTGATGTGCTGCAAAGATGACTGGGAATTTAAAACAGGAAACACAATAAAAAATATTAGCTGGTTCCTTAAATATTCCTGTTGATGGGCTTGTAATCTCTTTGGTAAAGACTGACTTTTTGTAGTAAAGATAATAACATAATATGCTAATCCTTGATTTTGGTGTGCCTGTACAATAATGAATCAATCAATCAATCAATCATCAGCAAAAAAAAAAAAAAAAGAAAATCCCTCAAAAAATCAGTTCAACAAAGAAAGTTGGCTTTGAAATTTTTCTGTCCAAAGTTTGATTTTAAGATTGAACTTTCATTTTTCCAGAAGCATTATCATGGAATATTTTGGCTCTCTGGCTTCCAGCAGAAAGCAGTATTGACAAGAGCTGTGCCTACAGCAGTGACTCGCTGGAAAGAGAGCACGTCAGCTCTCTGCCTCACCTGCAGCCCAGCTGTGATTCCCCAGCTGCCTGTCTGGAAGGTTTTTCTCAATTTTACTTTCTCCCTGCAGGCAGCAAGTTAAACAGACAAGAGTATTCCAAGCGGGAACATTACATTCCCGAGGTTTATAAATTGAGTTAGTTTTCACAGGGATTCTAAAGTATTTCACTTAAAATTTCCTGTTCTGCCAAAAAAAGAATGTGCCCTGATGGGGAGTTCCCGCCAAGGACTACCACGTATGTGGTTTCCGCTGGGTTTTCCAGTTCTATCAGAAATAGTGTATTTGTTCATTCTTACTCCTTTTACATGATGGTATTTCACTGTGAAGACTGTAATGAAGTCATAGTTTGAAATCTCATCTGTGAAAAACACTAGTGGAATTTGCCATCATCAGTGCTACAGCTATTTTTTATATAATGAAAATAAACACAATTAGTTGGTTATAAATAGTACAGGCTACCCTTGCAGTTCGTAGGCATTCTGCAGGGCAGTATGTAACATCTAATTCCAAGATGTGCTCATTAATTTACTCCCAAGTGCATGTTAGATTGTAAGCGGACAAGAAGTTTTGTGATCTACCTTCTGTGCGTATTGCGATTGCTGTTGACGTGTCCTCTTCCAGTGCATCCTGGGGTGGGGCACTTTAAAACATTTTCATGCATGGCAAGAACTAAACAGAAATAAGGAAAAAAAATGAGATAAAAACATACATCAATTAAAAATACATATATTAAAAAAATGAACATTTCTTCTTCAGACTCAGATTTTTAAGTCTGTCACATTTTGACCAGAGAAGAAAAGGAGAAGCAAAGGACCCACAGCACAGCAAGGCTGGAGCTTTCAGCATATGTAAGTTTATCCCTGTATTGGTGTAGTGTGGTTTCCCACATGCACATCATTGCTTCTGTGGACGTCAAAAGAACGTTGACACACACAGTAGAGGCAAAACGTAGCAAGGATGTTACATCATGGAGCCCTTTGCCCTCCGGTTGATACACCACTGACACAGTAGACTAGAAAAAGCATGTACATTTTTTATGCTCTTTGACGTGGATCATTTTTTACTAAGAGTGGGATGTATGTCTATGTAAACCAGAACATGTCTTTGTACGTCTGCTCATGACTTCAGTACTGCATTACCCCTTTGGGTGCACAGGGCTTCAAAAATGATGATTGTTCAGTCAACTGGTTTTGTTCTGTTGGGAACCAAATTGCCATTACAGGTAACTTGTTTGATTTTATTGCCCTTAGGACTGAACACATCTGATTGGGAATGTGATCATTAACAAGGTCTTGTTAATTTTGACTTTTTAGAAAGTTAATGTTGCCAAGGCCTTCCAAACGTAGCAGCCTGCTTAACTCAGCAGATGTTTCCATAAATACAGTTTAGTACCAGATTTAAAAAAAAAAAAAAAAAGGGAGACCTACAGTTAGGAACAAGATGCTGATAAAGCACAAGTATCCTTTTAATTTGTTGTTATGCACACCACCACAAAAAACAATCTGACTAAGTTGTTTAAACGAATAGTTTCACATTAGGTTTTGGCTTATTATGCAGCATCTCATTGCAGCACGTTGCAGGATTACCCACACACACACAAACCAATGTAATCAGATCGGCACAGTTAGAAGGAAGCAGGGAAATTCAGGCTAGACTGGGCACGAAAGGGTGAGCACGATGCAGCCCCGTGAGAGGGACGTGCTGTGGACCAGTGCTGGGATGTACGGATGGAATTAACCTTTCTGAGCTCAGTAGTAAGGGGGACACTGGAAACATCTCTGTTTAAGCATGCCCAGGTCTCTCAAGTTGTTGGCAATGAAAACCAGCAGCCCCAGCGTGTAATACGGCAAATCAGGTCGCAGCGGTGAAACAAGCAGGTGATTTCTGTGCTGCATGCCTCAGCAAAGGCACGGGCAAGCACGATCTTGAAGATACACCCGACTGCAGCGTGCAGGTCTGCTGGCAGCATGGGGATAGTTGGGCTCTGATCTTATTCTTCCCAGGCCACCTGAGGAGCCTACTGTTTGCAATGCTCCTGCTAAGGAGTGCTTGAGCTTCACAAGTGTGGGAAGCAGGACTGTGACTCAGAGCTGGAGGGCAAAGAAGGTGTGATGGCTCCTCTCTCAGCCTCATTCTGCAATCTCACCCAGAAAAAGTGGGTTTCTTTTCTGGCATGTGCACACACTATCCACAGTACCGGGCCAGATCCAGTCGTTATTCTGGACTGCAGGGTGGTGATACTCACTTTCTAGTGGCACTCTAACTTTGTGTGGACAGCCTGAGAGACTGCGGTGGTGAGGGTACAGCCCAGTCACATGCCCTGTGCCATCACATCCTGGGATGGGACATTTGGTTTCTCTCTTTTCAGGCCTGGGTGAATCTGCAGAGAAATCAGATAAGAATTTTGTTTGGTTTTAGTCCCTGTCTGCACTCAGCTGAGTGATCCTAGCAGCATGATACTCTCTATTTTGTGCTTCAGATGTAATTCCTACACAAAGTTTTAACAGAGACGTATGCCATTTAAGCATCACTTTAGGTTTTTGCAGTGTCCTTTAAACAACGGCTCCCACCTCCCGGTATGCCATTTATGTGCTGCACTATGTAGCTTTAGGATTGCAGTGTCATTTATTCCATTCAGAGCCTCAAACAGGACAGAAGCCACAATCCAACAAGCCAGAAAACTGGCAGCATCAGCCAACAGCAAGATCTGTAAAGGAATAAATAAAAAAGCAGAAACGATCTTTTACTCTGTTAATGTCAGACTCCGGGAAGCTGGGACGACCAAATAAAAGCTGAGGTGTGAAACAAACAAACAAAGAAACAAAAAAGCATTTCACCCAGAAGCCAGTCCTTAAATATCGCAGATCTCTAGGCTGTAGGTTCTTTGTTAGGAAACTGAATATGTGCCACTTTCCATTTGAGAGGCAAGGCAAGCAGCTCCCTCTGGTCCACATGGCAATGCCACTTTGTGGAGCAGCCCACAATGACAGGGAAAACACGGAGCAGCCGATACCCTTTCAAAGGCAAGGTCTCAGCCCAGCCCCACAGCTACCACTGTGGGCCACACAGTGCATTCCCAATTTTTATTTTAAGCACCTAGAAGCACTGGTCAGAAAGCCTTTATTTGATTTCCAACACAGGATCAAAAGTCTGGGCGAGAAAGGAATGAATTCTGGTCCAGAAATTCTCTTGTGAGAAATCTGGAGGAAGTGGCCGCATAAATTGCTGAGGATGGTTTTAGCTCCATCTGTGATTAGCTGCCAACCACGTTCGGCGCTGGGGGAGAAAACAGCTGCAGCCAGCCCAGGGAACAGCCTCCTTCAAGCTCATTTTGTTGGACTGGGAGGTAGGATGTGCTTAGGAACAGGATCGCCAGAGACAGCTGAGGGTTAAACTTCCTGGCAAGACTTTAAGTAAAAAAAAAAAAAAAAAAAAAAAAAAAAAAAAAGAAATAGGGAGGAAAGAAAATAGACTGAGCATCAACAGGAAACCACATGCTTTTTAGAATCACTGCAAATGGAAAGTGCTGTAATAGTGAACAGAAAAAAATGAGGGACCTGAAATATGATTTAATTTTTCCCCCACTAATGGGAAAGGTCTATCAATAAAAAGATGAGAAAATTTAAATTTAAGCCATGTGTTTCTGATGTAGCATCAAAAAAAGAAAAGTAGGAGCTGATGGATTTGATGGTGGATTTTTTAGAAATAAAATCCAGTTGATTATGTTAAGTGAAAAAATTATGTGCCTGATACTACATTGACTAAAATCATATGGTGTTTATACAACCTGAACAAAACCTAGTTTATTCCTCCGTGACTGTTACCTCTGAACTCACCTGCAAACCACAGCCAATAATAGTATGAGGCAAATCAGGAAGGGCCAGATTCTGCCATGCTTACCATCACTGCTCCTTCCTATGTGTGCTGTGAAAAAGTCACATTGACACCAATGTGAACCTGGTGAACACCATGGGTCTCAGGATAAGAAAAGGTATCTGTAAAATTCCTGCATATACCATAGTCATTGAAGGAAATAAAGTTTCATGTAGTTTATCAAGAAGGTAGAATAATACCGTGCATGCACAGCTTAGGACATGCTAATGAAAAGACTGCTTTGAGACAGAAAAATGAGATGCACACATATTCTTCCCAAATACTACAGGAAACATTTTATAGTTGCAAATCCTAAAAAAAAACCCCAACTTGTCAGTTATCTGATATGCTTAATGCTTTAGATATTAAGCTACTATAATATTTGCAAGGTCCACAGGGACTACTCTAAAGCAACACTAAAATATCGAAGTAAATCATTTATCAAAAGCAGAAATTGCAGCAACGCTGGGGTGACCTCTGCATATTTGGAAGCCCAAAAGGAAAAGTCAAAGGACAGATGAATTTATTGTTACTTACTACAGCAGGGAGCGTGCTTATAAAATGACATCTCTTGATGTTCTGTAATTATCCTCAATTGAAGAGTTTCATATGAGACAGCCCAGTTTACAAATCAAACACAAATCTTTTAAATCTCCACTTCTGGAAGCCTGATTGAGTACCAAAAATGGAGCAATGCTCCTACAGCTTTGTAGGATGCCGTAAACCGTCAGAAACAATAAAGATTTTGGAATTTACTGGTAGTTCTGCTGATGGTGAATGAGGCAGAAGAGCACGGCTTGTGCTTTCCTGGCTCAGAAGTGCTGGCTGTAATGCGGATACGTGAAGTAGACTGAACTCGGAAAACACATGGCTTAGGAATTAGGTGGTATGTTTGGAAGACAACAATTTTTCACCCTAACCTTTCCTTAAGCACCATTTTAATGCCTTCTCTTTTGGCTGCTGAAATTGAGAAGGTATGTATTAACGCCCTATGGAGGAGGAGGCGGAGGAGGAGGAAAAGGAGCCCAAGGAGTGTCAGTGCCAGCTACGCAGCCCTTTTAGTACCCATTACTGATCATTTCACATAGCGGTTTGGCAGGAAGCCAAGTACCTAGCGTTTAACCTGGTTAGACGTAAGGCACGAGTGTGAAGGTACATAATTAACAAAATTACCAGCTAAATTCCACATTCTTTACTGTTGCTATAAAACCCAGCTCAGATCCTCTATCAGTCACAGGATAAATGCTTAAGCCAGTAAGAACAGCCAAAAATACTTCCTTACGTTTGTTGCTAAACATCTGTCTCCCACCAATGTCAATAACTTTGGTCTGTCTCCTTTCCCCTGCTAGATGCTCCAGAAGAAACCTATCCAGTTCCTTGTAGGTGCTGTGAAACACATGCCCTTGCTCTGCCTGCAGAGCGATTGCTTGTTCTAGCAAACTCAAGTTCCCTTTTGTTTTGTCCAGCTCAACTGACACTTCTGTGGTTTCTGACAGGCACTCGTTGTCATCTTCTTCACTTTCAGGGAAGGGATTCTGAATTCTCTTCTCAAAAGGATCTGGGTGAGACTCCTGGGGTGCTCTTAGCTCTGTTTCTGAGTCACAAGGGCCAAATTCTACCTCTTCCTTCTTAATTTCTGGGACTTCCAGGATGCTAGGTTGATTACACTCTACAATATACTTCTGAGTTACATGGGGCTTTACACTAGTTTCTTCTGAGAAATTTGAGGAGCTGTCCCACTCGTTGTCCATAATTTCAGAGTTACTTTCATTTTCCTCAGAGGAACAGTATTTTGGGTCAGAAATAACAGTCTTTTCCTTTCCTTCAGCTGAATTAATCATGTAACATTCATCAGTGTCATCACTTTCTGTTTTTAAGGATTGAATGCCACTATCATTTAGATTTTCTGCCACTGTTTGACTGGGTGCATCTTTTGATAATTTTCCCACGTTCATCAAAGATTTGGTCACGACATCTTGATAGCTGGAGTAGTTATTTTTCCTTTGACTGGAATTTTCTTGCCCACCAGAATGAGGGGTTTCCTCTGATAATTTTGGAGTACTTTCCTCTGCACGAGAAAAAAGCAAGAGAAAAATATGTAAGAATGACTTCTTTTTGTATCTTGTAGAAGTGATATGAAGATATTTACTTGCCAATTGCCGTTACTTTACTCAAAGGTTCTCCGAAATGATTGAATTCACACCAAGGCTGTGTTTGAAATGACTGCTTGTAGCAACAGGAAAAGCCCTTCTAAGATTATATCTACTTTATATTATAGCTCCAAAGCTATTTGAGAAATAAATATGTTGCCATTTTTCACTGATGGTGAAGACATATTATCTTAGAACACATGCACATTCGTATACATTCATATAAATATAATGTGACATATATTGATAGATACTATATATACACACTATATAGTATATACATCTCTGTATAAAAGCACACACACATTTTCAGATTCTTCTGATCTATTTTCACTTTTCTTTCATCTTAGGGTCCCAAATATTTTCTTGAAATAGACCCTAATTACTTTCCCAGTCACCCCAGATCCCATGAAAGACCTTGATGGAAAAAACCTCAATACTTCACAAAGGGCAAGCTCCTGGTCACCATCGCAATTGCCACATTAAGTGATAGATCAGGTCATGCACAGGCAAACAGAAATGGTTGTTATGTACAGACTCATAAAGGACTTGTTAAAGACACCACTGAAGTGCATCCTGCCTTTATAAACATCTTTCTTCAGAAGAAAAGCAGCAGCCAGCAGGTAATAGAGGGTGCATGTAGGAGAGATTGTCGGTGTGGAAGACAATATGCCTTTTGTATCTCATTTAATTTTTTATAAACATTTCCTCTGACAAGGACACTCAAAAATACATCTCCATCATCTTCCTTTCTGGTAATTATCTCTCTAAAATCAACACTGGTTTGCCAGGGTCAAGTAAATATTGCCATAGTAACTAAAAGCATTTTTGGATGAAGGGAAGAATTTAGTCACAACACTAGCCCCTTCAATAATGTTGATTATAGGGTACATTCTTTTGTTGGGATCTATTCAACATAAACTGAAAAATTTAACATTTTACTTCCTAGAAAAGAAGATGAATAAACAAGCACAGACTATTTCATAGGATGTGCCTGTCCTCTCCTGAATCAGAAGAAATCCAGGTTTAAATCCTAAATTAAGCATAGTCTAAAATGCAAATGAAGTTTCTCTCAATAACACAGTGAGCTATTAAGAGAAAGTGTAAAGGGTTACGATAATTTTAAAGTATTATGAACTACAGAAAACAAATAAAAAGCATTTTCAGTGAATATGTCCAATTCATTGAACTATTCTCTCAATCCACTTAACTACCCACATGTGTACAATAATGATTTATAGACATTATACCTAATTATGCATATTTGGGCTGTGTTAGAGTGCCTAACAAAAGCTCTAGAAAGCAACAATTACCTCTGTTGCTTAGCTACATAGTTTAAAATATTCCTATTAAGTGCAGATTATTGTGGAGGGGAAAAGGGGGACAAAAATGCACATGTGCACCACAATGCATTTCACTTTACTGCTGCCAAACTGTTAGCATTTTGGGTCATTTCCAGTTTACATAATTGTTTAGTTCAACTGTTTGTTATATGCTAAAAGAAAATATTGATTAATTCTTATTCTTCTTCAGAAAATTGGACTCATGCAGGGAGAGGCGGCCTTGTGCACTGTGTGTATAAAGTTGTGTTAAAAAAAATGAATCAGTAAACCTTAGCATAACTTTTTAGCAGCTGGTCTAGTACCACACACACTGCAGTACTCTGAATAAAGAAGTCTGCTGTCTTTCCATGTCTCAAGAAATAAGAATGATGATTTGGCTGCGTAACCAACTTTAGAAAAATGGACTTTTATTGTTTGCTCTTCTGCTTTTTGGAAAATAACAGGATCCCATAAGTGGGTCACTTAAAAAAGTAAGAAATTCTAGTTTTAAAAGAAATCTCCCACCCTTCAAAACAAACCAAATCGAACAAAACTTGATAACAGTACCAGGTCTTTTCAGTTATTTTTCTGTGTGAAGGATGAAAAATAATGTCAATGCATGATAACAGATTTTTGCTCCTTAAATAATCAACAGGTTTTAAATGCAATGTTTAAAAATTTGTTGTTGAACCAGTCTTAATGGCTCAGCTGTCCCAGCTTTGCTTTTCACTTCTACAAGCTGTAAATTTACTTTAAAAATAATCAAAACTCAGCTTAGTTTACAGTTACATCAATCCATGAACTGAAGCATTAACTGATCAACAGGCAAGAATCATGAGTTCATAATAAAATGAGCAATAGCACACCAAGAAATTACAAATAAACCTACACACCCAGACCAGCTGTATGCTTTAGCTGAAATTTGTTTTGTAGCTGGCACAATTAATGCAAAAGGGTTAGGTTGTATTATCACTGACACAAGAAGTTTGGGAGAAATCTCACTGTTACCAAATAATTGTTTTTGAAATCAAGTGGTTTATTTCTTTTGACTGAAGATCTCCACTGATTTCAGTAGAGACAGTATTTGACCCTTTAATTTCAAAGACATTCACCTTCTTCAATGTGTTTTATGTATAGTATTCATATGTATAAAATTTTAGGGTATTCTTTTGGTTTTTAAGGAAATTCTATTTAGAGTGGCTAAAGATATAAATTCCTCAGTTCATCATAGAATTATAGAACAGCCCAGCTTGGAATGGACCTTGAAAGATCATCTGGTCCAACCGTTTGTGTGAAAGGGAGCCTGGATGAGATTATCTAGTACCCTGTCCCTCCAAAATACCTGATAAGAAATTAAATTATCTTAAAACTCCTGTAGCAACCAGCAACCGAGTGGAATATAAGTTCATTCTGTTTTCATAACATTTATGATTATTTATTTCTTGGTGCTGGATCACATTGCTTTATATTGACATTTGGTATCTACTCATGACTCTTCCCTTTAAAAAAATTCAGCATGCATTCCACTGATATCTTTTCACTTGCCTGATTAATGATTTGTGTAGGACTTCTTAAAGAAATATGTGACAATTTAGTTTGATTTTTTTGTTCATCTTGAATGTATATAAATGTATATAATAGAAAGAAAGAGCAATAATAAAGACATACTGTAGCTATGTCTTTCTATATCCCCATCCTCTTCCATATTTTCCAGCATACATGTTGTAGAAGTTTCTATAAATTGTTGGACATGTTTGGCTTAGTAGAGTTGGAATTACAAGTATAAAAGTGCTGAGTCTAATAATCGTGTTAAATAGAACACACATAGCAGTCACATGCATGAAATTGCTTTTCTAAATGTTAAAGCCAACAATGTTTTGCTAAGCGTTTTTTTTTTTTTTTCCTTCCTAAGAGCTCTATATATTCCAGTGAAAATCTGCTCTTCATAAATGTATTTTTCTCAGTGGTGGGCTTAACCTTGCTCTTTGATAGAGCCAGTGGAGAAGCAGATGCTGCTCCATATCTGACCTGCTGCAGTAGTGTCTCTGTGTGACCCACAAAGAATTTACTAGACTCCAGGAGGAGTTCTTGTACAAAATAATTGGAAGTATGATGGTTAAACCTAGACAGAAATGCACCACTCCGACTCTGTTAGAAGTCAAACACATTCTGCATCCTCTTTGAAAATAGTTTCGCATCTCCCTTCCTGTGGAATTCAGGTTGAAGCGGAGCCACACTGCACAGCTACCTGGGGTTGAGCTGCTTTCCAGGACACTGATCTCTTTCTGTAAATTCATCCTCTCTTCATTTTCTTCTTTGCATTCCAAGCTGGGGCTGTAGTGGCGGGGTTTCATTAACAGGGACTTCCTTTTGTTGACGGGAACACCTGATATCTGTTCTTCGGCTTTTCTCTTCTTAGCCATGGAGCATTTGTAGGCACTGCAATGATCAATTGGCAATGACAAAGAAAAGAGTGGAAGAAGTGAGGGGCAAACTGTTTAAGAAAAAAATCACCATCCTCTAGTTTAATTCTAAGTATAAAAGTGAAGGCTGACAAAATACTAATTGGCTTGCAGTTTCAGCAAGCAGCGTGGATACTTATTTTTAGCTCATGTACTCGAAGTTCAGGGCAGAGGCAAGTCTCATTTCTTTTCACTGCTGACAAAATCTGTTTAGGGGAAGAGGAATGAGGAGGAAGACAAAACCAAAAAACCCATAACCCAATGTCCTTAATCCTAAAGAAGCATATGCTAATCTAAACCCTGCTCTGCAGTAAAATAAATACACCCAGGAAAGGATGAACAAAATTGTAGTCTGGGTTGATAATCCAAAGAAACAGCTAAGGGGAAAAATATACCACCAGTTATACTACGATATCCTGAGCCTTTGGCTCCATTACCTTTACACCAGTATGGATATCCAATTACGCATCTTGAGTTTAACAACATAAAACCTGTGTGAAATACACTGTACCTTGAAAAATTGGCAATACAGGTCACTCTTTCAATCTCAGTCCCAAGCATTGGTTTAATTTCATTAACTCCATACCTAGTTCTTCTCATGTCTCTATATAGACTCTGGAGAAGGGCTCTTCCAGAGGGCAATTCATCCCACTTAAAACTAGATCTATCCGACAAACAGGGTGAGCCATCCCCTGGAAATGCCTAACTTTCACATGACCGACATGAGAAGAGAGGACAGTATTTTAAAGAAGAAGTTTTTTAGCAAATTTAATATACTTCTTTCTGCTACTGTAAGATCCACATGTTGATCTGGATATTAATTTGCTTCTCCAGATATTTAGCAAAGCCTTTTCTACCATGCAGCTGATCTGTATGGCACGTGGATGTTACATCATACGACACATCACTAAGGTGGCCTGAACCTTCAGCCTTCTTTTTATAACTTTTTGTGTAAGTGATTTGCCATGATTGCATTATTCCCTCACACACAGTATTGTAAGAAATTTATGTAGTAGGAATAATAGTGCTCATATTATATCTGTCAGAGATGAAAAAACTACACATATGAATCTGTGTAATCCACTCAATGGTTTCTTGACCTTAGACACCCCCAGGGTGCATTACAAATCTACAGGATGCCCGTAGGTGTTGGATTGTGCATCTGGCTCACTGACTTAGCTGCAGGATTTACAAAAAATCCATGTATGCAGAGAACTCCTATTGGTTACACATATTACAAGCTCAACAACATAAATTAATCCTTCCAAGGTATCTTATGTGCACTAAATTGGCTCAGGTTCTGATTGTTTTGGATGAAAGCATATGACTAACTTGAGGTTTTTCTTAAAAAAAAAAAAATACCCATTTTTGGCTAAGTACCTTTTTGGCAAGCCATCATCACAAACGTGAAGGACATAGAAATACGAAGATCTGCATTTTAAGGGGAATGTTAAAATTCTACCATATGCACCTTAAACACAGTGGATATTCTTGATCTTCTGAAAGCTAAAATGTTATGGGCATCAGGAATACTGGATGGTAAGCACCTGCTGTAGTTGAATATATTATGACTTATGGGTTGTTTCTCTGTTTATCAACAGAAGATAACATGAATATCGTGTTAAAGGTCAGAATCACAATGGTATAAGCATCCCCTTGGAAATGATGCCCATATAACAGATGTCGGGGATGGATGTAGTATGGACAAATATGCATAATATATTTCAAAGACACTACAATCAAGAGTTTCTTAATTTGTATTTGTGAATGGCAGTTCATACTATTCATGTTGTTTCAGGAAATTTAAATAAATGACAAATGTTTCCAAACGCTTCACACACAATTGTTCTTACCAACCAGAACCTTCTCTAGGTTTGCTTTTGATCTTTCTCATTTATTTGTCAAGTTTACCTGCAGTAGCTACTGTGAGAGTGTTTAAGACAAGATGAATTTCCAGTGTTTAATTCTCTTTTGGCGAAGCTACAGGTGTTTCTTACACAAACATAATTAATAGATTTTCAGGACAGAAGATCCAATTAGACCATCTAGTGTGCCCTCCTGTGCAACACAGGTCACAGAACTTCATCTAGCTTTTCAGCTTTAATGCTGTAATTTGTCTGACTATTGTGTATATCTTCCAGTCAAGTTAAAGGAAAACATGGTAAGATGGTTGGATTGCTGTACGCTTGCTCCCCAAGTACAGCCTTTTTTTAGTAACATGATGTTATAAGCCCACCACTGTGGGCTGGCACAACATCTATTAAACATATTGGGTTTTCACCACAACTGTGACAGATAGCCCAACTCAGGTGGTAGCAGACCACAGTCGGGACCAGCACGGGGGCACCACTCCCACCTGCCACCTGCAGATTTGCTCTGGGAAATGAGAGCACAAGAATCCCACCAGTGTCAGGACAGGAGGCCCATAAATCTGCCTGGAAGCACATTGCTCATGTTAGAAATTTTCTCCTCCGTGAAAGACTGATGCATTAGCTTGTCCTTATCGGATCTTTTTCTATATGCAAGTGGCCACTTACCCAGATTTCCCCTATAGTTCCCATCATTTTAAAATAAGTGAATACATAAGCTTCAACTCTAAGTAATTTTACTTCATTCCTGACTCCTTCCACTCCGATCACAGGAAGATGACAACACACAGTTGTCCTTTCTTTCCTAGGAAGTGCAAATTGCTCTCCATAGACTGAGAAGAGATATTTCAGCTCCAGCAGAATATACTCTTGCTTTTGTACATGACTTTTTAAACTGCTGGGTTTGAGTTTCAGCTGGAATCTATTAGTTTACAAGAGCCAGTTTAAAGATCTACCATTTACCAACAATTTCTGTTCTTTTCTGTCTTACAGTGCTTGAAAGTAAAAACAAAAATAAAACCAGAAAAACAACTTCACAAGCAGTAGTTTTTTCAAGTACTTACACATGGTTTATTAAGTGTTTGATAATGGACACTGGGAATTTTAACTACTATGGAAAGAAGGTATTTGTGCCTTTGTAACATTCATGGCATGTCAAATTCACCTTTCACTTAAAAAGTTTCTACTCTCTTTTGCTTATGCACATTCGTGCACACACACACATGAACGTTAGCACAGATTTGTCAAGCTGTAGTTTGTCAAATGGTAAACCTATAATTTAGCTTCTCTATTACTCATCTCATAAATTCAACATCTAATAGTTTTGTTGCTATTTATCAATGGCCTGCTTGTTGTCATGGAACACTGATTCAGCTGTCAAGGTTATTTGGTAATCTGAGGCTCATAAAACAGAAGAAGCTCTTTTTGTTATGAGCCCAAAGCCCATACATGTTTGGGTTTTTTTCCCAGTTCAACTGTACTTAAATTTTATGACAATGATTCTTTTTAGTACTATCTATAATGAGTAAATTTTTTATTATTATTTTTTTAGTCAATTACTCAGTTACCAGAACCAGTCTTGTGTTGGTTGTCATAGTGCAAGCCAAGAGGTTACAAAATCGAAGACATGTAAGACCTGGTTGCATGTGTTGAAAAAACCCCACAATACATCTTGCATATGTATTTCATACTTAAATAATTTTTTGGATTTACTGGATCCTTCTCTTTCCTTGGTTTCTGCTCAGAATGTATCTTGGATGGTGTGGGCAGACACTGGAAGTATACAGGGAGAATGGTACTTTGGCTCCTTAATGCAAAGCAATGCATCAAAAGAGGTTTTAAGCAGTCCTAACCACATACAGCTTTTCCTACTGACAAAAATTTTCATGCTCACATTTTTTTGTAATTAGTTCTTCTAAGTGATGGTTTTGTCAATCCTTTAACCCAACCTTTAACCACTTTGTAGCCAGCAAGGATTTTTTGTTGTTAATCTGTTTTCAAGACTTCCAGATCTCTGGGGATATTTTCCTTACTCACAGCAGCCTGCAGACTGGTAAAGCATGATAAAAGAGTGAAGAATTGCCATAGTGGGTAAAACCACAGGTATGTTCAGCCTGACAGCTGGTGTTTACTAATGCCTGTGACGGATGCCATGTAAAATAATAAGAACAGAACACACTGCATCTCATATACATTCCTTAGCTTCAAGAGAGAAAATAAACATCTTTGAACATGAAGGCACTTACATTTATTGTCTAACACTATTTAAGGAGCCCATTCCTTATGTGAGTTTGTGGAGGAATAATTAATGGAATATTTCCGTTTGTGGAGAAAATAATTTTAAATTCTTGAATATTTAAATTCAATCTGAATTTTTGACTGTTTGCTTAACTATACTACAAAAGTAAGTTAGACTGTTGAATTACAATTAAAGGAGAGATCATCTTCTGATCTGCAGAACCGTTTAACTTCACACCAGTTGTTACAAGAAGAAAGTTAGCCTAGATACTCCTCAATCACATTGTGATTAAAGATGTTGCCAGATGCTTTAGGCCTTGATCAGGTTAGATAAAAGACGCAGATAAAAGGAACAGAAATTCAGAATGTCTCTCCACCTTAGTCCTCTTCTATGTCACCTTGTTCTCTAAGGCATAGACTATAGCTGAATGTATCTGATCCCCCAAAATCAGAGAAAAATCCTGAGCTCCTCATAAGCTGATGATGGACAGGAGAAGTTGCTAGCAATGAGTACAGAAAGAGGATGATCTGCTCCTAGGATGGATGGCGTGTCACTTGAAATGACACTGATGTTATTGTTTACATCAGCCACGAATGCCATAGCCTCATGAAAGGAGCTGGAATGTCGGAGTCCAAAGAGAGCATAGGTGATCTGATCACTGCAATTGAAACCCCAAATGAGTGCTGTTAATTACAGCAACTTCAGATGGACAACAGTGGTTGGGGAGGAAGATAGAGAGTGACTATGACTCAATTGTTTGCTTTGTCTTCAGGTTAAGACAGCCAGATTTATAGCCCATTTCCTTAACAAACCCTCCTTGTTTGCAAAGAGTCCAAATTTTATAGCTCAGTGGAAGCGAGAGTGAGAAGA